ATTGAGCATGGACTTTGTCATTCTTTTCTATCTTAAACATTTTTGAATTGTTCTGAATTGTTGAATTGCAGCCTTTTTGAACACGACATGATATCTTTCTATTCCAGCTCATGTTCGGCTTTCAGTGGGCGCCAACAGTACCACATGTTGGTTTTTGTTTTGGAGATGTTGAACATCCTGTGTTGTGGTTGCAACAAGCTCAGCTGTTTGTCATATGTGTACAGCAGTGCTCAGACACTACTTTTAGCTCTTAGGTTTGAGCTGCATCCAGTGATAACTTTGTCACCTTTGCTGCAGCCTTGGTAACCGAGCCATCACACACACTGTGCCAAAAACACTCAAAAGAACATGCAGAGCATTTCTGTGGTCTCCCCAGCTTGCAATCCAGCTTTATGCTTCATGTTTAACTTAAACAACCAAATTAGCATTACTGTGCTTCTTTTCAGTTTATGTCAGCAGCTGCTTTGCTTCAGCACTCATGCACAAACTTTGACACAGGTGGGCATGTGGAAAGTTGTATTTAGAGACAGCAGTGAGCTGTCATAGTACAGTTTCTCTCTTAGTCTTATTGGACATTGCAAAACAAACGTGAGCCTGCCTTTTTAGATAAAATAATTGTGATCTGAAGTTGAGTATCACAAAACACCAAGTAAATGCTCAACTTCTCATCTAACCAAATAAATACTCTATTGTGTGAGCTGAAAATACTTTATACATCAACTCATACAAATGAGGCAACTGACTAAATCTTCTTGTAACTTAAAATTCTTTATAAGCAGATACAAGCATCGATAATCTTGAATAAATTTGAGCGTAACAGATTAGTACTTTATGACCTTGATTAGAGTTTAATAATCATTTAATTGATTCAAGGTTCTTGTCAAATGAATACATTTATGTAATTTCATTACCTGCACAGAGCAGTAAGGAACAAGTGCTGTGAAGTATTGACCTTGCTGATGGCTCTATGGGATAATTTACATTATTCATGTTTATATTCTGCTTATTTAGCCTGTGTTATGAAAAACTTCTTGTATTGTCCCTCACCAGTCATGTTTTTTGCACTTAACTGGGCTAGTAAAAATCTTCACTTTGTCCTCAGCCTCTTTCTTATCTGTGGGAACATAGAGAATGAGATAACTTGTGTGATCAAAGCAGAGGATTAATAAATCTAGTTTGGCTGGCAGCTTCTTTAGGCAGCCATTTGTGAATGAAGTAAACAGAAATAAAATGTCCCTTGTTCTTGTGTGTGTTTCTTCCACAACCATAAATGAACTGTTGGAGAGTGTGCACATAGTTGTTTGTCCAGTTGAGTTTCTGTACTGGTTCTGTAATGGACTGAGGTCGTGTTCAGGGTGTGCACTGTCTCTCCTGATGACAGATGGGGTATGCTTCAGCCTTCCTCCAATCCTGAACATAACGAGGTGGCTTTGGAAAATTTAATATCTGTTCGCCTCATTACATTATCAGACACAATTTAACAATATAATATTATGATGAAGTTCCCTAGGTTTTATCTCATGGATTATATTGAACAGAATATTTCTGAAAATGGACTTCCTTCTGAACTACAACAAATTTAATTTAAGTATTCAGTATTAAGGTACTGAATAAAACTTATGTATACATTTCTTTCGTCATGATTTTGCTATAAACCTATCACTACTTGTGTTATGAGTGAACTGGCTAGGATGGTTTATTTCTTTTTTGTGTGTTCACACAGATACAGTGTCTCTAAATGTGTGTATTATCAGCTCTTTTTTTCTGTAAAGCTTTGCATTTAATTCTATGCCTACTACTTTCTTCCTGTGATTCCAAACAGGCATTGAACAGTAACCTAAAAATTACTTTAAGGGGCTGAAATGTTCAGCCATTTTAGACTCTTGCTATTCTCAGGTGAAGGGCACAAGCTTTTAGTCCCCATCTGGTGCTTGGAGACCTCCTAACAGCCCAATTACGGAGGGGCAATTTAGCTTTCCTGGTTGGATTATAGGCCCCATGTTGAATGCTGTAGCAGAAAATGTCTGCCAGCTACAACCAGCTGAGTGATGTTCCCTGGAAGGCAGGATGTGGTTAGTTAAACTGTTATCCACCCTTCTCTAAAAGGGAGAACTCCTATGGAGTGCTAGCATAATATTTGCTTTGGAATTGAAATTGTAAGGCAGGAAAATGGATATTTGAGTTGCCACTCAGGAGCTCTTTTTCGCAAAATAACAGATTTTTTTTAGTCTTGAAAGAATTGTTTATTTTGTCATCTCCCTGACAAACTACTTTGCTAGTGATAACTATAATTTAATGGCTGGTGACTAGGTATCAATAAAACAATAATGTTAAATAACCCTGTGTCCACATACTTTTAAAAATCTTTTTTTTGTTTTATACATTCAGTTTTTATTTGTTCTATTTCCCAAGTTGGATTTTATGTAGTGAAAGTTCTCATATTGCTTATAGGGTCTGACATGATAAGTGGCTTAATGTCTTAGTCACAAATCCCAAAGCTTTTCACACTGAGTCTTCCAAATGTTGTAGACTGCTTAAACCACAAGACACTTGAAATAAGTATTTTATGAATGACTGTAGCTGTCTATAAACATGCATTATAAGTATAACATTTAGACAACAGTGATAAGGAATGCTTGAGGCATGAGAAATGACAACGCAGCCGCAGCTTGCCACATCCTCCCCTTCTGCGCCAAGTTGAAGTTGTTATGGCAACCAGAGTCTGGTCCTACACCTGTTGCCATGGTTGTGAAAGATGGATTGATGATGTTTGAGGCAGCAGAATGTGTCTTCAATTTGACTGTGAACTATAAGTAGATTCCGGCTTCTGTGTGAGATGTTTAGGTGCATCCTTTTTAATTATTCATTTTCTTAGTCTTCTAATGAGCCCCAGTGTAACTGAGAGCCAGTCTTATAAGCATGATTATGTTTTTGGAACAGAGAGGTGTCCTATCTCCTGCCATTTACACCTTTTACACCATAAATTTACTCTGGTTTCTGATTAGAGTGCAAGAATATAATGGATCAACAGATTTATATCAGAAAGCTCCTAACAACATGCATTGTTTTGCTCTTCTGTTTACTGGTCTGTATTGAGCATTTTCTTTTCCACTTGTCCCACATGTTCCACTGTCTGAGTTTCCCTGTGCTTATTGCTGTATAGTCTTCCTAACACAGAATCAGAGCCAACGTTGCCTCCTCATTAATTTAGTGACTGTAGATTGTTCCAGGAAAGGTGAATAGGGGCATTGGTAACCTAAACCTCCCTTGATTTCTCCATGGCTAGTCTCCAGTTTCCTTCTAGAGGCAAGGTCAGAGGTGAAAATGGGCTTTATTTAGCCATCTGTCTTGCTGTATCCTTTTCCAATTCCCAATATGGAAGCTTTCTGTGCACCTTAACCCAAATATTAAAAACTGAAGAAGCCAATCCATTACTTTTACTTTGTGTTTTTGTCCAATAGCAGCAGGTATGATATCGCATTCAAAGCACATACAGTCGGTGCGCTGATTTCTAAAAACACTCTGTGCTTTTCTGTCAGCATGATATGACCCATGGAGGGCGATATGCAATCCATGTTTCTCCTCTTCTCCTGCATTATTGATAAGTGTGCTGAAATCCTCTTGCGTATACAAGATACTCTGCTGCTTGCATCTTGATGCAAAAACTTCATAGAAAAAAGCTAATTGCAGCTTTGTGGCTAGCATTATGATACATATTTACCCACACTTCACTAACAAAACATATACATAATTAACTTGTATTCATCCTAGATTGCTCCCCTCCCCTTTTTGTCTAGCCTTCTTCTGTTTCTACTCTGGATTGTTTCAAGGTCCCTGAGTTCATACACGTTCTTGTAGACCGTTTTCATTGCTTCCCTTTTCCCCCTTCCCCCTCAGTTCTAATGGGAGGGATGTCTGCACAGCATGAGCAAACTTTTATAATTGTGAAAAAGCTAAATGAAAGCCAGTCTAATTACAGCTAGTCTAAGAAACAAATTTCAACAACAAAAGTATGTCTGACTACAACTATTCTCCAGCAACTCAGCATCCTACTCTGTCTCAGTCACATTTACAGTGCACACAGTTTTAAAGCTAGGACACTTGTCTCGTGGGTACCACATGGCATGGTTGAGGGGAGTGACATACCAGGCATGGTAGCAGATTCTTTCTCATTAAGAAATGTGTGTGGCTTCAGAGAACGACTGAGTAAGATGGAAAAGCCATGTCAGCAGATAACAACAAGTGAATCGTTGCAGTAAAAAGTAGCTCATAAGTAGCTCATACTGATATTCAGACTTTTCCCATTTTACATTTATAAATTATACAGGTTAGGATGTTGATTGGAGGAAGCATATTTAAGACTTTAAACATTTCTGCTTGTTATAAAAAAATAAAAAATAAAAAGCAGGTGTGATGTGTCACCAACTCTTGTTACTTTTGGGTCCAAATATACCACCAATGGTGATGTTCTAATTCAAGAACTGGTGTAGGACAACCCCCATTTAGCCAGCAGAAAAAATAATTGATTTGGGATTGTTTAGCTGGTTTTATTCAATCACAATCAAACTCATTCATCCATCCATTATCTTTAACCACTTCTTCCATTTTTGGATCACGGGGGTCGCCGGTGCCCATGTCCAGCAATCACTGTGCGAGGGGCAGGGTACACCCTGGACGGGTCGCAAGTCCATCACAGGGCTACATAGAGACAAACGAGACAAACAACCATTCACTCTCTCACTCACACCTAAGGACAATTTAGAGTTACCAATCAGCCTAACATGCATGTTTTTGGTCTGTGGGAGGAAACTGGAGTACCTGGAGAAAACCCACGCATGCACAGAGAGAACATGCAAACTCCACCCAGAAAGGCCCCTGGACTGGGGTTTAAACCAAGGACCTGCTTGCTGAGAGGCAGCAGCTCTACCAGTTGCGTCACCGTGCTCACAATCAAACCATTTAAAAAAAATTTATTCATAATTTTCTCTCTTTTTCTGCAGCTATCCTCAACCCCAAAGCCCCAAAGGAACCAGCAAAGACCTTCAGTTTTGATTATTCCTACTGGTCACACACCACAGTGAGTTTACTTTCCCCCCATGTTCAACGTTTTGACTCAAAAATAAAATTTAATGGCGTGATATATTTTATGTTGTCAGTTTGAAATACCACAGTTCTGCACTTAAATATTGTATAACCTAAATTATTTCTGTCTTGCCTTACAGCCTGAAGATTCCTGCTTTGCATCACAGAACCGTGTCTTCAATGATATTGGAAAAGAAATGCTGGAGCATGCTTTTGAGGGCTATAACGTCTGCATTTTTGCTTATGGCCAGACTGGAGCTGGCAAATCCTATACTATGATGGGCAAACAGGAGGAGGGACAGGAAGGAATCATTCCCATGGTTTGTATAATGCATCTAATAGAATTTAATAGCTCAAAAAGATTGACTCTTTCTTAGAAATTGTAATTATTGCTTCTTTTATCACAAAGTCAGACCTCTCCTCCCAATTCATCTTTTTTTTTAACTGCCCAACTTCTACTGCTTATTTTAAAGCAGTTGACCTACCTTTAAAATTTAAGGCTGAATGAAACATTAATCAAAATGTATGTTATTCATTTTAGTAAAAGGAGACTGTTATACAAATTTAGCTCCTTTTGTGTTTGATTAAACCAAGCTGTTTAAAAGTTGTTGCTCTTAAGGGCATCACTTGTTTTACTGAATGTAGGAGTAAACCTTTTTTTGTTTTGTATTAATCCATTTCTTTATCCATCTTTATTTTAGTTAATTCTACCATTTTTATTTGTCTGCATGCATTTCATTTGAACTAAAAATCGTCTCTCTCTTTCTCTGCCTCCCAGCTCTGTGAAGATCTGTTTGAGAAAATCAATGAGGACAGCAACAAAGAGGAGCTCTCCTATTCAGTGGAGGTAAGCTTGAAGTGCTTTAGACTCTGTAATCTGTGTCGTCAAACCCTGCTGAGTTTTATTTATTTATTTTTGTATTTACTTGCTCTTTACAAGCAGTGATTAAATCAGATACACATTGATTGAAGATTCAAAAATACTGGTTTTATTCAGTTTTACTTTTCTCGTTTGTTCAGAAAGCATTACAGCACTTGTTTTTCTCTGTAGAGCTTTTCTAAAGCATACTATTAGAATTACAAATAGCTTAATATTTAGTATTCTATCTATGTTATTCAGACCTCCATGATATTTAGTCTCTTACTTCTAAATGGCATTGTAGTCCTGGGGTATTTTAACTGATATTGTTACTGTTTTAGGTCAGTTACATGGAGATCTACTGTGAGCGGGTGCGAGATTTGCTCAATCCCAAGAACAAGGGGAACCTACGAGTGCGAGAGCATCCGCTGCTCGGTCCCTATGTCGAAGACCTGTCTAAGCTAGCTGTTACCTCCTACACAGACATTGCTGACTTAATGGATGCAGGAAACAAGGCCAGGTGAGCCAAGTCAAACTAGTTTCATGCTGAGATTAAGGAGGGGGAGGGGAAGAGAAACGGAATCATTTGATGATCCACTTTCATTCATGGATTAAAGTTCTCAGTTGCTCCTATGGATTTCCATCATTTTGAACGTGGCCAGTACGGATTTCCGTCATCTTTAAACATGAGGAGAGGCAAAAAAAACAAAACAAAATGTGTGCTTTTGTAGTGGTCCTGGTAAAGCCATTCAATCTAATGATGATATAGGAATAAAACCAATGCTGCTTTCAACCAGTAAAGAGAACCATAGCCAGTTTGAGCCGATCAGAGCAGAGCAGGATGGGTCACGCTGTCTGGTTCACGTTGAGCTCAGGTGTGAGCAGCAGAGAGAAGCTGCAGGTGAAAACTCACCTGTAGCAAGCCAAGGATGACGCCTCGCTACCCTAACAGAACTGCTCCCCCCCATGAAGGTCATAACATGTATGTATTAAACGTGTGTGTTCGCATGTGACCAATTCATCTCAGCCAGGAGATACTTGAACTGAAACACCATCACCCCCACCCCCTCCTCCCCACCGCTCCCCGACGTCCCGGGACTTTTGTGTCTAAAATTTAACATTGTATTCAATGTTAATGTGTTCAGAGCATCGTCCTCGTACAGACGTGCAACTTGTGTGTAAGACCAAACTCCAGATCAGTGAGACAGATGGAGACGTGCACTGCCACAGGAGCACGGTCAGTCTGTTGTTTCTCTGATGCTGAGAGAGGCAGTTTCTGCTGTGTTAGTTCTAAATAAATATTAAAGCTAAAAGATGAATAGCGCTATTCATGCCCCAGATTATAGCAGAGATGTGTGTCTCCATTTAACTTAATTTTTTTCTCCAAATTCACAAAGTCCTCTCTGTGACAGAGTCAGTTTCAGGCGTTTGTATATATATATTAAAAAAATAATTTCTACATGGTATTATAGCATTAACAAGGTGTTTTGGCTGTTTGAATGAGCTAAGCTTGATTATATTTAAAAACACACTGAGGGGTAACTGTAGTGTGATAAATGTAATGCACTAAATGAACAAATATGAAAAATAAATAATGTAAAATGGCTGCATGAGCTGAAATCCTGTAAATATAATCCTTTTGAATGAAATAATCATTTCAAGGGAGAAATCTGTCAGTCTGGCAAAAAAAAAAGGAAAAGTTAATTTATGTTCTTCAAAGGTCTTCCTGTGCTACGATTTAAAAAATATATATATCTGACAACCCTCAAATGAAAACATGGGAATTACATACAAGTAAACTAGAAAAAGGTTGTTCAAAACCCTGCTCTTCCTTCAGTATGATGTTAGTCTTGATGGTGCAGGTTAAAATCTTCTTACAGCATCAACACTTCATTAGAAAACACACATTGTGTACTTTTACTAAGGTCATGCACACACTATACTCCTCTTTATGTGAAAACTTTTGAAAAGTGACCTGTATGCAAGAAAAAGCCCTCACATGTGTGGGAATGGGGGTTGGGGTGCTTGCACTTGTAGATGTAGAAAAAAAAAAATCTGTCAAATTTTTTTTTCTGCTTTAGTCCCTGTTTTTGTCATTTAAATTGATTAAAGTATGGGAATTCATGGTTTCATAATCCGTGTTAAGCATGGATTAAATAGTTCAAGACTATTTGATTTCCTAAATTAAAATAAAACCTCAGTTAAAATTACATCTGTTTGACTTGGATTCCTAAATAAAAATTTCTATGGCAAGTAAACAGAAAATCGAACAATAAGTGCATGCACAATATCTTCATACATGTCTGTTATGAAGACTACTGCAAGGAGGAGGGAACTCTATAATCGTTCTGTGCTGACTAAGAGGGCTTATTTCCAGAACATGGCGTGTAAAGCCCGTATCTCCCCCATGGCCATCCTTCTGAGTATGCCTTATGCGTTTCTGATTTGCGTCCTCGCAATATTATCCCCCCTCTGCTGCACAAAGTAATCCCATGGACTCAGTTCACCCCAGGAGGTGTAAAATCCAGTGATGATACAGCTTGTAACAGTCAGTGCAGGTTATTCAGCCTTTATTATAGTGACTTATTTAACAAAAAAATTAAAGTGTCAGAATATTTTTTCTAACTTTGTCCCTGTGTGTTTGCTTGCAGAACTGTTGCTGCCACCAACATGAATGAAACCAGCAGCAGGTCCCACGCAGTTTTCACTATCGTCTTCACACAGAGAAAACATGACAATGAGACAGATCTCACCACAGAAAAGGTCAGCACACAAGACAGATAGTCATGTTTCTTATTCTAGGAAAACCATAACAGCCAATGACACTTCAGGTCCTATTTCTAATTTTAAAACTTTTTTTTTTTCCCCATGTTTTATTTATGGCTTTTTTTTTTCACCAATATTCTTGCATATGGCGCCCTTGTTTTCACACATGGTGTGAATTTCAGGCCATTCTCTGGATTTTTTTTCTTCCTTCACACAACATGTGACAGCAACAGGGTGTATGTCACCTCAGGAAAATATGCTGTCAGGTGTAATAAAATTTTAACTTTAGGTGCACTTGTAGGAGACAATATAATATTTCTCACTTAACCATATGCACTTTGTGTATTAAACGACAGAAACGTCTTCTGTATTTTTTCACTTTAGTGCAAATGTGTTTGCCGTCCTCAGAACACACATTTGCTCTCCAGTTACCTGCTACATTCGCTCCTAGGCTCATTAGATATCGCACAGATTTCCATTTTGGACAGCTGGAAGGAAATGATCTGCATGAGATTTTGTCATATTGTCTTGGACATTTGCTCCTGTATGAATGTGTAAAAACAGTCCCATTTGGTTTCAAATGGAGTACAAAAGAAGAGGGGAAAAACAGAACCATTTGAGACTTTTAAAGTTTCCTTTGAGTCAGGAAACACAAAGAACAGTGTTATTTTAAAGACAATGGCTATTGTTTCTAGCCACTCCATCAGATTTTACTGCCAGGCAGGATCTTTCTTGACAGTAATGCTCAACTATGTTAGGATGATTTGTGCTCCTTTGTAGTTTTTATACAGTATGGCTTGAATATATATTTTTTTATATATGATATTTGGTGTTCTTGTTTCAATCCTGTCTCACTCTATTAACATTATATTTAGATGTTAGAATCATACAGTTAAAATTAACTTGATCAGAATATGTTTTATATAATTGATTTTATTTTTGTGACAGTTTGATTGAAAATGAGTTTCTGATTTAACAGGATTTGGATCAGTAAACGTTATGTACTGACTCATATTCTTACTGTTCTAATGATCTTTGTTCCAAAGCGCATTGGGCTGTATATGAAAAATAACAGAAAAGTTAACTGGTTATAATGAAAATAAATTTGTCTCCTATTATTAATGTTGTTTTCCAAAGTTATTTAATAAGTTTGTTGCAGTAACTTAAGAGCATCTGACATTTGCCTTGTATATTGAAACAATAAATTGAAAGTATCATTTACTGACCAATGCCACAGCTACATGTTTTTTTTTTTTAATGAGAATCATTTTCATATTTTGTTCAATGTTATAGCACCTGTAGAAAATAATCTTTTTGCTTCAGCACAACTACCATCAAATTTTCACATTTGCTTATTTATTTAGGACCACTTCACAATAAAAGTAATTTCGAGTGTTGTAAAAAGCAAATGGGTTCAATTCAAATTCAATTACATGCAATTCAAACAGTGGTTATCCTAATCTAATGTGTTGTTATTGAAACCATATATTGTAATGAAAATTTGTTTTTGCCATAACATTATATAAGCATTGCAAACTAATATCATTTACCCACCTTGAATTCAAATGTTTGATATTTAAGAGCTTGCTCCATCTAATGCATTCACCATCTGTTCTCAGGTCAGTAAAATTAGTTTGGTAGATTTGGCAGGAAGTGAGCGTGCAGATTCCACCGGAGCTAAAGGTACCAGGCTAAAGGTAAGACTAAGTGCTGCTTCAACAATCAATGACTAAAATCATACTAATCAGTGGTGGGCACGGTTCCGCTAATGGCGGAACTAACTTTTCGTTTATGTGTAGTTCGCTAATACCTTTAACGAAAATAGTGTCAGCTAAATTAAAATCCGGTAAATTCCAAGTCTGCTAATTTTTTCAAGACAGTTCTCCACCCTAAAAGTGTACAGGAGTGTGGTGATTTGCACAGAGTGATTCTATGCTGTGCTATGCTATGCAGAGCTAAACAAATTTTAACACCTCCCGGTGATGTCACTACCCTCGCAGTGCTTTTTTTCCCCTCATCATACTGTATCTACTGCAAACAATTTGACACATGGTCAGTTTACAGCCAATAACAGAGACTTTAACATAAATGTCAAACCAAACCAGAACAGGAAAATAACATGAAACACCCATTTTCACACTCAGAAACTCTGTAAACGGTCAGGAACATAGCACACAAAATACCTACCCAGCATGTTTTGCAACACTCAGTCTCTGGGACATGACTCTCACACATGATTTCACATTTACATTAATGCAAACAGATTTATTAAAGAGATAATATTTATGATGACTTACAGCAAGTTTTGTAGTTACAGTAGTTTATAAAAGTAGTTAACCACAAAGAGGATCATCAAAGTGAGCTAATTCATTATAGTAAATGAGATGAGGAAGATGTCTGACACACATTAAATGCATCACTCAGTTTCAGCACAGCAGAGTTCTGCTCCGCCTTTTTGGTTCAGATGAATTGGATTAATTTCCGAAAGCTAATCTCTGAAGGGGACATAGACACTTTACTTGTGAATCACAAGTAAAGCGGTTCATGAATCACAAGTTGTGGTTTATGAACCATTTTGAGTTGGGTTCACTTACGTTGTCACTGTCACATGACAGTTTTACAGTCTCTGCAACAACATTGTACGATAAATGTTAGCGCGTTAGCTTCCACAAAATCTTTTAGATCTATTTAGCGTTAGCAAAGCTAAACATTTTTTTAGTTATTGGATTAGCGGTTAGCGAAGCTAACATTTTTGTTAGCTGTGCCCACCACTGCTACTGACATTTATTAAATTAAATGTTTTTATTGTGGTTTCAGGAAGGAGCAAATATCAACAAATCTCTTACTACGTTAGGAAAAGTTATTTCTGCCTTGGCTGAAGTGGTAAGTGTTTTGTGTTTGATTCTTTTTTTTTTTTTTTTTGTCCTCTTTGTTCTTTGTCACAGTCTCTTTTACCTTTTTTAACTCGACCCTGCCTTGTCAAGGATTTGCTGTTTGTAGTCTGGCATGCTGTAATGTCTGCCCTTCTATTTTCTCTTCCTTGTAATGCCTTCTTACACAGGATAACTGTACCAGCAAGGTAAACTATTTGACAGCTCATGCTCTAACCTCCAATTCATCTCATGAGACACCTTTGACAAACATTTGCTATGTGCAGCGCTAAAAGTGTAGAAATTCAGCTGCTGTCATTCTATCACTTTAAGTGCTGCTCTTTGTGGGTGTAACTGTCCTTAGCAGTAACAGCCGCAATTATTGCACAAAGCACATCAAATCAAACTTCTGCTTATATTTCTGTAACTCGGGATGTTTTTGACACGTCATAATATTGCACATCTTTCCATATTTAAATGTTAAAGTGCAAAACCCTTCATTAGTTGTTTCCATGATTGATATAATTTATTTTCTTGTTGCAGAGCAAAAAGAAGAAAAAGACCGACTTCATCCCATACAGAGACTCTGTTCTGACCTGGCTGCTGAGGGAGAATCTCGGTATGAACTTTAGTGTCACCTGATATATAAACACTCTTGGCAGGATTTATATCACTCAGCTGTTTAGTGAAATCCTTGTGTCTGCATAGTAAGCGATATTGAGTAATTTGTATAATGGAAAGTAAAGTGATGGTATAAAAAATGGCTTGAGCAAGTGTCTGTTACGCTCTGTGAATTTAAGAAGAACTCGTGTCAGCAGTCTGTATTTCACTCTAACTAGACAAGGGCACTCCTCCCTTTGGTTCAGGCATGTAAAGAAGAGATGCTGGGTGTATCGTCATTCATTTTCTCTTCCTGACTCACATACTGTTTGCAGTAAACAATATTTTAGTTATTTGAGGACTGTGGAAATATTGTATTTTAAAATAGCCTTTACCTTTTTGTTCTACTTTTTCTAAAAAACAAAACACAACAACTTTGACTTGTCGTGTAACAGACATATTTACTGTTCTTTGCTCATCAGGTGGAAACTCCAGAACAGCTATGGTAGCTGCTCTCAGTCCTGCAGATATCAACTATGATGAAACTCTCAGTACTCTGCGGTAAGATTTCCATGCACAAAATAATTACATGTGTAAAATATGTGTCAATTTTCCAGTCATTAAAAATCAAAGCTCATTGTCATGTTTAGTTATGCTGACCGAGCAAAGAACATCAAATGCAATGCTGTCATCAATGAAGATCCCAATAATAAGTTGGTGCGTGATCTGAAGGACGAAGTGGCTCGACTGAAGGAGTTGCTTCGTGCTCAGGGACTGGGAGACATCCTGGACAGTAAGTCTGCAGCCACACAGCCTTTCTGTCAGGGAAGCTGGCAACATCTTCAGTACTCATTTCTGTCCCATGGCTTTCTGCCAGCTGAGTGTGTTTCCATCACAGTAATTGGATTTGTACCTGATACAAAAGAAAAAAAATTCAAACTGTTTTACTCGTTTAAGATCCCTTAGTCACTGTAAAGTTTAATGTGTATCTTTGTTCTTATTCCTAAAGGACACACCATTTATAAATATGTAGTTGTATATACATGTTTAGAAATTCCTGTATTAAATGTAGTCACGTGGCAATTGTGTCTAATTACACAGCTGGTTAAATATCACACTCCACTGGCTGAATACAAGAGTAATGACTCATAGTTCTGCCAATTTAAGAAATACAGCAATGTCACGATTAATAAGTTTCAATAGCAGAAGGAATTAATAACCTGCCTTCTTGCGAATGCCTGCCTAAATGATGCGTGATGACATGGCACTAAACAAGTCAGTACATAATGTTTCTCTTCCCTGTTGGCAATTCAGCTCTCTAAAAAAATCAGTAACATTTTCCTCCCATTCTGCTGGTGCTGACTTCTGATCCTTGTCATCTTTTCCTGCCTCCCCTCAGTTGATCCTATGGGGGATGATTACCCAGGAAGTGGAATCAAATGTGTGTATATGTGTGCCAATCATGCACTGTATATATATCACTTTACCAAATTATAATGGCTAACATTGCTTTTGACAAGCCCTCCCCATCATGTGTATACATGAAATCTGCTGCTAGCTTTGCATGCAATTGCTTAACCCCCCCCCCCCCCAGAAATATTAGGACTCGGATATGCAAGGCTTTTGTCAGTGTGTTGATCTGGCACGGGTTAGCATGCCACTAAGTTAGAACGCTTTGCATTTGCTCCTTAGTTTACAGAAAGCTGGGAGTAAGGCAGCTTTTGCAGGCTTATATCTAACTTATCACAGTCTACTTTGGGACTTCCTTTCAGGAGCATAATTTAAGTGGTGTCTTCACCCCACAAAGCTTATGAATCTTTTTTAATCATATTTCACTTTCTGTCACTCATTGTCTGAAGCTTCTTTTGTTGCCAGTGGCTCCTGCTGCTTTTTATTGTGTTTTCTTTCACTAATCATCCACCGCAGGTGACGGTGCTCAAAGCTTTAGAATGACACTTCTGAGTTCTCAAAGTGAGGCTCAGAGCTACAGACAGAAAGGTGCATTTTTTTTTTTCATTTTTCTATGTAGCTGCACCAGAAGTGTACATGCAGTTGACTAACTTAGCGTGCTTTAATAGTTTGTTTTGAATAATTTGGTAGTGCTCTCCCTGCTGTGTTCTTGAACTTCTTTAACACATCTGCCAAATTGTCCTCTTGTGCTAATATTCTGTGCTAAAACATTCTAAGTTTTGTCATTTTTATGAGCAGAAATTTACTCACGTCTTTTCTTTGTAATGAATAGGTTAAATGATACACTTTTCATTTCTCCTTTGAGTTGAATAGTTAGTACTTATTTGGTTTTATGAGAATACAAAAGCTATTCTCTTCAAGTTTCACTTCCAATTCATTTAACTTTGCTGTTATGAATATTTCAGCTGTTGTAGAACACAATGCATTTTTTTCTTGCACATTTTCAAGGCTATTACCGATATATTAACATGTGACTGAGGCTGCTGTAGCTTGTGTTTCTATACCTGCGAGTGCATGTGTGGAGTGAAATAATCTACTGAACTGCAGGCTGGACTTCGGCAGCATGTGTTCGTTTCTCTCCCCTGTCCTGTCACCGGACCCTCCTGCAGTCTCCATCGCACTCGCATCCTGTAGTTGACAAACTGATAGCAGTTTTCACTCTGTCGTCCCATTAAAAGTGAAGAAAATTAAAGTTGAGGAAAAAGTTTTACTTGTAGTTTTAAGACCTTAGTTAATTGCTCTGCAGTATTATTATGACTTCCATAAAATGCAGTTCTTTTAACATTTTTAAAGACATTATGTTTTAATTTATTATTTTTTTTCTAATAAAACAATTGGGTAGGTTAATTTCTTGGAGTGAAATCTGCTGCTTTCTGTAGCTGAACAATCATGCTGGGTGTTTGTCTTTACTCTTCAATGTACAAGTGTGTCTTATATTGGTCTTTCCCCTCCTGTGTCCTTTCTCTTTTTCCCATATTTTTCTTCTTCCCTCTTTCTTTATTTGTGTTATTTGTTTCCTTTATGTGTTTTTTTCTTCCTATACCCTCTTTCCTGAATCTTTCCCACCTTTTTCTTTGCTGTTCTCTTTTTCTCTTTTGCTGTCGGCTCAGACCTCAAAGACATTGAGAACAATAAGCATAGATACTTGATAGCCTCAGAGAACCAACGCCCTGGCCATTTCTCCACAGCCCCTATTGGTTCCCTGACAGCTTCTCCATCCTCTGGCGCTCTCTGCAGCCAGGGAGGTCTACAGTCTGTCACCAGCATCCAGGAGCGCATCATGTCCACACCTGGAGGGGAGGAGGCCATTGAAAGACTCAAGGTAAAGTACAGATAGATGGCTGCATTATGAAAATTACACATGTTTTTCATCAGTTATGTCACTGCCCAGTTTTTTGTTTTGTTTGTTTGTTTCAACCCTGTAGAGATAAATTCTGACTGGTGGAATCATGCATTTTAAATCTTAATAAAATAAAATAAAAAAATTGATGAATGGAAAGTTTTCTAAATATTTTACTAAAATTAATTATTTTTTGCTTGTTTTATACTTTCACTATACAGGTCCTTCTCAAAAAATTAGCATATTGTGATAAAGGTCATTATTTTCCATAAATACACAAACTGAAATATTTCAGGTCTTTAATTGTTTTAATACTGATGATTATGGCATACAGCTCATGAAAACCCAAAATGCCTGTCCCAAAAAATTAGCATATCATGAAAAGGTTCTCTAAACAAGCTATTAACCTAACCATCTGAATCAACAACGTAACTCTAAACACCTGCAAAAGATTCCTGAGGCTTTTAAAAACTCCCAGCCTTGTTCATTACTCAAAACCGCAATCATGGGTAAGACTGCCGACCTGACTGCTGTCCAGAAGGCCATCATTGACACCCTCAAGCAAGAGGGTAAGACACAGAAAGAAATTGCTGAACGAATAGGCTGTTCCCAGAGTGCTGTATCAAGGCACCTCGGTGGGAAGTCTGTGGGAAGGGAAAAGTGTGGCAGAAAACGCTGCACAATGAGAAGAGGTGACCGGACCCTGAGGAGGATTGTGGAGAAGGGCCGATTCCAGACCTTGGGGGACCTGCGGAAGCAGTGGACTGAGTCTGGAGTAGAAACATCCAGAGCCACCGTGCACAGGCGTGTGCAGGAAATGGGCTACAGGTGCCGCATTCCCCAGGTCAAGCCACTTTTGAACCAGAAACAGTGGCAGAAGTGCCTGACCTGGGCTACAGAGAAGCAGCACTGGACTGTTGCTCAGTGGTCCAAAGGACTTTTTTCAGATGAAAGCAAATTTTGCATGTCATTCGGAAATCAAGGTGCCAGAGTCTGGAGGAAGACTGGGGAGAAGGAAATGCCAAAATGCCAGAAGTCCAGTGTGAAGCACCCACAGTCAGTGATGGTCTGGGGTGTCATGTCCTCTGCTGGTGTTGGTCCACTGTGTTTTATCAAGCGCAGGGTCAATGCAGCTAGCTATCAGGAGATTTTGGAGCACTTCATGCTTCCATCTGCTGAAAAGCTTTATGGAGATGAAGATTTCATTTTTCAGCACGACCTGGCACCTGCTCACAGTGCCAAAACCACTGGTAAATGGTTTACTGACCATGGTATTACTGTGCTCAATTGGCCTGCCAACTCTCCTGACCTGAACCCCATAGAGAACCTGTGGGATATTGTGAAGAGAAAGTTGAGAGACGCAAGACCCAACACTCTGGATGAGCTTAAGGCCGCTATCGAAGCATCCTGGGCCTCCATAACACCTCAGCAGTGCCACAAGCTGATTGCCTCCATGCCACGCCACATTGAAGCAGTCATTCATGCAAAAGGATTCCCGACCAAGTATTGAGTGAATAACTGAACATGATTATTTGAAGGTTGGCGTTTGTTGTATTAAAAACACTTGTCTTTCATTGGTGGGATGAAATATGCTAATTTTTTGGGACAGGCATTTTGGGTTTTCATAAGCTGTATGCCATAATCATCAGTATTAAAACAATTAAAGACCTGAAATATTTCAGTTGGTGTGCAATGAATCTGAAATATATGAAAGTTTCATTTTTATCATTACATTATGGAAAATAATTACCTTTATCACAATATGCAAATTTTCTTAGAAGGACCTGTACAAAAAAGAAATCATTAGTTTAATCAAGATAAATCTAAGTCACATTCACATAAAATATAAGGCCTATTGTAATTTATTTACGATTATGTGAACAAAGGTGTATTCTTACAGTTTAAGTTTGTTCAGATTGTTTTATAAACTTGTTAAAGTGAATACATGCACACCAACTCAGAGTAAAAATCTTAACCACAGTCTGTTTGTTTAATAATATTCTGTTTAATTTTAGCCCACCATAGAGCCTTTATTAAACCTCCATGTCTCAGTCCGCACATGGCCTCAGAGCTTCATATCTCATCTGCTCTCGGTGCACACGCACGCTCTGTAGATAAAATAACACATAGGACTGCCAAGAGCCAGCCAGGAGGAGCTGCAGTTTCCATGGCAACCGTGGTTCTGAGTCTGTCTGTCATCCTAATGACGTCAAACACCAACGCAATACAGAAAAAATTGGATGAAAATAGATTCAAGTCTTGTTGGCTTTCAGTTTTGATACTGAGGCACTTCATGTTCTCATTCTAAAGGTGCTGAAACAGTTCTAGGGACCCAGAAGCAACTATACTGAAGGTTAACCTTTATTTTAAGACAAAAACATGACACCCCATGGACTTGCTTGACCCCAGTGCCTAGATTTTATTAAATATTGAGAAAATAAAAGTACAGAGAAAATCTTTAGAAGCTTAATATTGAGAGCAAAAAAAAATCCTTTAACTTTTCCAGCTTTAAAAATCGTTTTCAAAGGCACACCTTTCTTGTTTGCAAACTGGAGCTTTAAGAAATGGTATTAAATTTGTTTTATGTTTACTGCATATAATTTTCTATTACTGCTTTTCTGTTTTATTAGTGCAGGACCCTCTTTTATTTTATAAAGAATAAAAATCATCTCTATTGGAATAAAATGATCATGTTGGTCATTTTTTATAGAAAAAAATCCAGGCGAAAGCAGTTTTTTATAAAGTAAACATGTAGCTTCCACTGCTAACTTCTTTCTGTTTACCTCTTGTTTTCAGGAGTCAGAAAAGATCATCGCCGAGCTCAATGAAACCTGGGAGGAAAAACTACGGAAGACTGAGGCGATCCGAATGGAGAGGTAATATAATCAGACTGATTCTGTTCATTTCCCTCTGTATATCTCAAGTGTAGAAATGTGTGTCCTACATGTACGTCCACCTCATCAGTCTTAATTAGGATTTATGGTCTGTCTGAATTGCATGTGAAATGGTCTCTTGGCTTTGGAAAATCTCCCCCACACCATTGTGACATCAAAAAATGGGTGAACGTGTCATCCATTGTTTTTAACTTGCCAAAACAGAAGACCCACGGTTCACACCCACCTCATGCTGTGATTGGCCAGCTGTGTGACTGTGACTGGCATTGTCATTTTGTCTTTAGCTCTCTTATGCTGTCATTGTTACCCAGCTATTTGAAGGACATGTGTATAGTGGATGCTTTGCTCCATGTTTCCCTGGAGAGGCTACTAGAAAATATGCTCTGAAAACCCTGTTTGTAACTGATGTCACTCTTCTCTGTTGACTTTTCTCTTGGTTTAAACATGTTGTTCAAAAACTGCAATTGATGTTTGATTGTCAACATTTCCGACAGCAGGTTCCTGGAGACTATAATGTTAATTTAACAACCCTGCAGTGATTTGTTTTTAGTGTTATTTGTTTTGTCTGCTTCTTTTTTTTAAAGCTGCACCAAATCTGTCCATTTCCAGTTTTCATCATCACCCACTGCTGCACAAACACCCTCCTCTCCCACCTTTTCTCTTTTTTGGTTCACTCATTTGTTGCCACGGACATCAGCCTGCCTATTTTCTGAGTCATACCACAGACCACTTTAATGTTGCAACCATTCACTCTCATGCTCGTCTGTTTTTCACAAAGCTGCCCTTTGTAATACAAATGTAAAAATAAATCTGGGCAAGAGAAAACATGACATGCTGTGCAATGATAATGTAATGAGTGTATACTATGTGTATTGCTTATTACAGAGAGGCTTTGCTGGCAGAAATGGGTGTGGCAATTCGTGAAGATGGAGGCACTCTGGGTGTGTTTTCTCCTAAAAAGGTAGGACGGAATAGAAAAGTTTAAAGTACACCAAAGGAGAAATCATTGTTGAATTTCCTGTGGGCGGGGATACTTACCCATCTTCCAGTACTTCAGTTTTCCATCTCATCTTTTTCCCAAGGATAATCCTCACTGTACTGTCAGGCTTTTGTTCTCACTTTATCATTTTATGTTCTTTCCATTCTGTTTTAAATTTCACCTACTCAGCTTAGCCACGAAGGGCCGTTTGATGAACAGTTTGATTGTTTTTCTGCCAAGAAGGTTTGTCTTACTGAATGGCTAGAGAAAGCAACTTTCCTGCCCTAGAATTAGCCCCATAGCTGACAGTTAAGTCTTTAGATGTAGTGTAGCATTAAACTTTTTTTTTTCTTTAATTTATATGCTTTTTGACTACTTTTGTAATCATAGTCAAGACATTTAAACTAAGCTTGGGAATGTGATTCTTTGTCCTAATTAGATGATTCAAACCTTCCCCATAGCTGCCAGGATCTCTGCTGCATTAGACTGATTAGATTACAGGAAGTGATTCTTTCTCTTCACTCCATATCACCCTTGCAAGTAGCAGCAGCATTGTGCGACGACAGCATAGAAGTTAAAAACAGAAAAAGGTTTACCGTAATAACTTTAAAACCCTAAGAGCTTGACTTTAGGGAAACTCATTCTGAATAATTCATTTTTTCTGGTTGCTTTAAAACCTTAGGATTTTCATCTTCTGCTAATTGTTTTGTTCTGAATTTTAAAGTCTCTACATATCCCATTTTTCCTTTCTTTCCTTCCACTCCATGGGTTAGCATTTCAGAGAGAAGCCTTGTGATCTCTATACAGACTTTAATGGGGTGTTTTCCCCTAAAAAGGTTGGTTGGAGTCATAGCATATAGTGCTAATGGTAGTCGCTCATAACTTAGAGTTGACGAGACTGTTCACTGTACCATTTTTGTTCATGTATTACATTGTGTCACTAGAAGGAGCAGCTGTGTTTGATATTTATGATTTTTAGTGTTGGATGTTGTTTCCACACAGTTAAATACTGATGTTGGAGTGTTTTGGGGGTGAACTGTAGACACTTTCTGTTCTTCTGCAGACTCCACACTTGGTCAACCTGAATGAGGATCCACTCATGTCGGAGTGTCTGCTCTACTACATAAAAGATGGGATTACAAGGTAAACAAATCTGAATGAGAAAATATACATGCTGCAAAAGATATGGAAGGGTGTGGGTTTCATTTACTTTATGTCAAGAAGGAGAAGAGAATAATTGTAAAATTTGCATTTGATTGTATTTTTAAGTCTAAGATTACTTTCTTTCACTCCTTCATTTTTTTCTAAAGACTAAAGTATTATATTACATTTGCATCCCAAGGGGATGGTAATTTATAAAAGAGTTAAACTTTTTTGTAGACCTTTCATAAGTAATGGTTTAAAGGTCCCATTTTATTTCTACCACTTGACTTTTTTCCCCCCAGAAATTGTTGCCATTGCATTAAAAGAGCAGTATTAACTCTGTAAAATGGCCTTTGATTGTTTCAGGGTTGGTCAGGCTGATGCTGAGAGAAGGCAGGACATTGTTTTAAGTGGAGCTCACATCAAGGAAGAGCACTGCATCTTCCGCAGCGAGAAGAACGCCAACGGAGATGGTGAGATCTATTTTTATGAACTTATTTGTATACATTTTTATCTTGGTGGAAAATAACACCACACATGACAATAATCCCAGCCTTCATTCTAGAAATAGTTCTATTTTATTTAACTTTGTATGATGATGAGCTTTTCAAGATTCTCTAATGGTTGCTGTGTTTGTTTTTCTAAAGTTATTGTGCTGCTGGTGCCCTGCGAGGGATCAGAAACCTACGTCAACGGCAAACGTGTTGAGGATGCAATCCAGCTTCGTTCAGGTACAAATTAAAGTTTATTAAAATATAAATGCATAAACTATATATACATATATATTTGACAATATTTATATACATTTATTGGGGTGGGCTTTTCCTTGGACTTTGTAGTTTATGATTGGACATGTTTTGCAAAGTGGAACACTTTGTTATTTTAGTCCTGAAGTAGAGATGCTTTTACTAATTCCCTGCTTTTGTACAGGCAATCGCATCATTATGGGAAAGAACCATGTATTCAGGTTCAACCACCCAGAGCAGGCCAGAGCCGAAAGAGAGAAAACTCCAACTGCTGAAACTCCTGTGGAGCCTGTGGATTGGACGTTTGCTCAGAGGGAGCTGCTGGAGAAACAGGGAATTGACATGAAACAGGAGATGGAGAAAAGGTATTCAAGCTGTCCTTGTTTTATAATTTTTCTCTATAATTATGTTGTTTCATATCTGAAAGGTGCCAGACAAATGTTTAATGTTTGTCACAATGTATTTTGCACACTTGTATAGGCTCACTGAGATGGAAATATTGTACAAAAAGGAGAAGGAAGAAGCAGATCAGCTTCTGGAACAACAACGACTGGTGAGTTTGGTTAAGCTAGATAACAATGGCACCCACTTTGTGGCTTTAAATAATGTCAGCCAGTTTGAGTTGTAATGTTAATGTTTGAGGCAACTTTGTACAGAATAGGTTTGTTATAATATAGTGTCATTATTTCAAGTTTAGTGTATCCTAATTAAAGCAGCCTCTTGAGTGATCCAGCTAGTTCACTATTTGTGTGTGATTTTAATTTAAATGTACTTTTTAAAAGTATTTGTAGATTTCAGTCAAACCATCGTTTTTCATGGTCTGTTATATTGGTAATTGGAAAGCTTTTGTGAGTTTCTAGATTGATAATTTAAATTGTTACATTTTAAATCTAAATAGTACTAATTCTCACATTGAGCTCCTAAGCTTGAGATTTGTTTGTTAAATGTAGTTTTGCTTTAAGTGCATGTCTGTTCTTCTTGCATGGAAGTTTTCTGGTTCAAGACAGATGAGCTTTTACTTGACCTTCTCTTGAGTTTACCTGATTTTCTGTAGCAGTTTGAAACTTAAATTGTTAAGCTTTCCCCTTTCCAAATTCTTGTTTTCTCCTTTCTTGCATTTCCTATAGTGGATCTGAATCTTGCAAAACAGCAGCTTAAACCTAAATTTGACATTAAGATTTAAAATATTTCAAACTGATTCAGACTTGGTCAGTAATCAACTACAGCGTACTGCTCTTATATAAAGGAGCTGCTTTTGCATGATTCATGTTAATAGCATGTTTTCTTAACTTATTCAATACTGGTTCTGAACTAAGTTGCAGTCTTTGTTGTTGAGTTGTTCAACCCTGAAGTGGCTGTTGTTTTTCTTTTGGTTAGACTTCTACTCTAGTTTTCTTGCTTTGATTTTTGTCCCTGAGTTTCATCTCTTCAATGCAGTTGCTGACATGTCCAATGCATTGTGATGACTAAATTTTCTGCTGTAGATTTTGACAGGTAGTGACAATGTGGTTTCTCATTGACTTCTGCTACCTCTCCTTTGTTGTGCAACCGCACCTTCAGTGTGCTTACACAAATAACAAAGTTATCACTGTTCACAATTGAATCAATGATACAAAGACCTTCTATTTTCTGGTGGTTTTACATGCAGAACTACATGCTTAAGTTTCACACTCCCACAAACATAACGTGACCAATTTTGGCCACAACGACTTCTCATACGCAAGAGCTGAACATCTGTACCAACTGGTTGTGATCTGTAATGTCCGTTGTCTACAAAAATGAGAAACTGCATTTTTTTTTTTTTCAACTAACAACTTCTTTTTGTAGTGAATTAACTCTTAACCCCACTTCTGTTTGTCTTCTCTACTGGCTTTCTGATCACCTGCAAGAATATTGCCTTTTAACTCGCTGCTAATACTAAAGCCACTGCTGGACTAAAAGGAAAAAAGCTCCAAAGTCCATCTACATGCATGCCACTGTAGCATGTTTGGGATCCAGCTTTCTAATCACAAAACTTTCAGTTAAGAAGAGGGAATATTACAAAACATTACAGAAGTGCGCCAATCAGCAACTATCCTCTATTGATTTCTTTCTAATCATGATAGACATGCTTTTCTTTTACTTTTAATATCAATATGCAACATTGGGAACTAAATTGTCTAAAAATTAACATCCCAAAAATGTTAATGTAAAAATAATAAAATAAAATAAAAATAATGTTAATGTTTTAATGAACATAAATTAATATATTTAAGACCACTTTACTAAAAAATATGAAATTAAACCTGAAAAGAAAGTCAATGAAGCCACAGTTTGTTGTTCATTTGATTTTGTTTTTCTGTTCTCATCTTAGTTGTATTCCATTAAATAATGCATGGTGCCATACTTCTTACGGTACTGATGTATGCAAAATACGTTGTCAGTCATCTTATTTGTGGTGGGGGTGGACAAATCAGGAATCCAAAAATAATAAAATTCTTTAAAAGATTATACTGTCCTGATTTAACTTCTACTTTGTTCGTAGTTTAAGTTCCCATGTTGCATATTCATACTTTTTATTGATTTTCTTTTTGTTTAAACCATTATCGCCCTGATTTCCCATTGTAATTCTCATTTTTTGGGGAACCATTTGGTTTGTGTCCTTTGTTGTTTTCTCAAGGATGGAGACTCTGATAGTGGGGATGACTCTGATAAGAGGTCTTGTGAGGAGAGCTGGAGACTGATTACTTCTCTGAGGGAAAAACTACCTCCCAGTAAGCTGCAGACCATAGTGAAAAAGTGTGGCTTACCCAGCAGTGGGAAAAGAAGAGAACCAGTTAAAATGTACCAGATACCCCAGCGACGCCGCATCACCAAAGACGCAAAGTGGGTGACCATCTCTGACCTGAAGATCCAGGCGGTCAAAGAGATCTGTTACGAAGTAGCACTGAATGATTTCCGCCATACAAGGCAGGAAATTGAGGCACTGGCTATTGTGAAGATGAAGGAGCTTTGTGCGAGCTATGGCAAGAAAGACCCCAATGAGCGGGACTCATGGAGGGCAGTGGCTCGGGATGTGTGGGACACCGTTGGAGTTGGTGATGAGCGCATCGAGGATGTTATCACAAATGGGACTCGACCTGGAGGGGCAGTTATGGATGATTTAAAAGTACACATTGATAAACTTGAAGACATCCTGCAGGAGGTAAAGAAACAGAATAACATGAAGGATGAGGAGATTCGTGCGCTCAGGAACAAGATGGTAAAAATGGAAAAGGTCCTCCCACTCATTACCTCAGAGGGCCAAGAAAAGCCTCCCAGCGTGGATTCTCCTAGCATAACCAGAACTCCTAGCCCTCGGGAACTAAAACCTCCTGTACCTGAAAAGGTTGACAGAGAAGATGTGGATTCACAATCAGACCAAAGTACAGGAGACGACTCCACCTTAAAGCGAGGGCACATGCGCTGGATGCGCCAAGAGCAGGTACGCCTCAAGAATCTTCAGCAACAAGAGATTTCCAAGCAGCTCCGCCGGCATACTGGACCACATCGCTTTATACCCCCAGAAGACCGCAAACTGCGCTTTCCTTTCAAAAGTAACCCTAAGCACCGCAACTCATGGAGTCCAGGTACTCATATCATAATTACAGATCAGCAAGTCGTAGAGCTAAAGGTGCCCAAAGAAGCTGTTCAGGAGGAAGAAGGAGAAAGCCAGACAGAAGAAGTAGTACAATCAAAGGATAATACAGCTGCTTCGGTTATCCATATGACTCCTCCTCTGCCAAGCACAACAGCTCAGTGTAGAAGTAAAGACTTGGGGCAAGGCATAAACCAGGGTCATAGACATCATTATAGAAACAATCAACACCAACAGCTGCATGAGCGAGGCCGCAGCAACTCTTTTAATCACCGTCAGCGGCCCTCTGGTTCCACTGAGTTACTTCAGCAGTCTGAAAACAACAGGAGGCATTCACAAGCCTTCTACCAGCCCCGCCACCACCAGAACCAGCCACTTCTTCCACCATCTCACTACCAACACCATCCAGGCCACTACAATAACATGATGTACACAGAAGGAGGCTTCAACGGCTTCCAGCAGTACCATCACACTGATCATGTTAACCCTCCAGTCAACTTTCAAGCCCCTCCACGAATGCGTAGGCAAATGTCCGCTCCTAACCTAAAAGCCAGCAGAGAGACAGCAGTTTGATTTGTGGAGTGAAGAACTAGTTTCACACACTTTGACTTGACAAACACATTACAGATCACAACAGCAAAACTGACTGTGGCTATGCACTTCATCTGTGTGTTACTGGTTGATTCAATCGTACGAACTGTTGGGGGTGGGGGGGGGGGGGGGAATACATTTTCACATCATCACCATAAAATTCCTCATTTTTATCAGTTTTTTCTGCATTGTGTGTGTTTTACCATGATCATCATTGGGAGAGTCATCAAGGATTTAAAGCCAACTGATCATAAGAGAGGAAGGTGGAAAATTTTGCAATAGGAGTGCCACCCCTGTTTGTTTATCATCATGTGTGACAATTCATGGATCATGCTTTGATTTGCCAAAATTCTGTTCGTAGTTTGTTTTAGGTTTAACTTTTTACCATTTTAGTACTGAGTGATGATTACTGATGAATGTTTCAAACCACTACAATATTACTTGTTGCCCAAGTATGGAACAGAAAACGGCTGATATTTATTTGACTGTTTAACTGATTGTTAGGTGGAGAGAACAAGTGCTAGTTACAATATATTGTGTTGTACCTCATAAAATATCATTCAAAAATTATCATTGGCCTTATTTAGCAATCAAAAGAGGTTATTTTAAAACCTGTAATGGAAGTAACTTGAAGCAGCTGTTAACTGTTTTTATTTTTTCAACTGAGACTGAAATAGTGGTTAATAAAGAGGTATTAAAAGTGTCTTTTCATGCAACTACTTTAAAAATATGACTTTCAGTATTGTCTTTAATTCATTGTGTGAGCAGGGCTTCAGCTGAATTTTTGTGTGGGGGGGGAAAAATCACACCAAAATTTCCTTCTTTTTTAATAACATACTTATTATTTACTACTATTTACTGGAAGTGTTGAAAGTAATTGGTTGATTTGTATATTTTTTGTTGCTTTCTTTTTATGAATTAAGTTTAAATTTGTAACTGCCACTAGATACATTACAGCATTTTGCACTTCCTTGAGACATGGGTAAGGTTATGAATTGGCCAGGGAGCACATTAATGGGGGCTTTAAACTGTACTTTGTTTTTAAAGCCCTCTCACTAAGATATTTTGAATTCTCACTTGGGATTTTGTGAACCACTACAAAAAATAGGACACAGAAGCATCTTGGTTTAGTTTTTTTTAAAAATTTTATTCAAAAATAATACAATATACTGACCAGTGATTTAGATTTAATACCGTTTTTAAAAAAAAATCAGCTTTGTGGTTCATCGAATAAGCACAGAGCTCATTGTGTGTCTGATGGATTCCCACTGAGTGTTGTCATGGTTTCCAAAGTCAGGCCTTGAAAACATGTTGGAAGTGAGACAAAGACTTTGCATAATTGTTATTCAGGAGAAATATCAAAAGAAATTTTGAAAACTGCCTTGTATTAGCTCAGTACATTTATTCAACTTAAAAATGTTTGAGTTTTTGTTCATAAACTCAACTCTGTTTATTTTTGTGCTTTAGCAGAAATTTGGGGTTCAGCAGCAGACTATCCAGCCAACCTTTAATTATCTTGCTGCATTTGTAGCTTTAAAAACCCCATGAACTGTTTTGACTTGATGCCCTTCAAACAAATCAGCCACATGGGAGAGGCGTTTTTAAAAATATCAAAATATTAATAGAGTGGTAAAAATATGTACTTTTATACTTTGAGTTTTGACCATATGCTGCCTTACTATGCCACTTTGACTATCTTTGCATGTTACAGCTTGCATTTCCTCAGCATTAATAACCGCTCCTTAACAAACGTGATGTAGCTTTAGCAACCAGGTAAGCTGGAAAGTATATAGTATCCAATGAACTCTTGCACAGTGAAGTGTTCTTTAGACAAATCCATATACCTGTCAAGTTTCAAATCATTGTCCAAGTGTTTGTCTGCTCTTTGAACCAACAATGTGTTTCATTTTGATTTTTATTTTGTATGTACAAAGTTGTGCTGCTTCTTTATCAAGCATTTTGTCCAAACATGTTTGAAAGAGTATATTTTACACATTTAAAGGACAAAAGAAAATATATAGAACATCTAATGATTGCTGGAGGTTTATTTTCAAAAACATGACTGAAATAAAATGACCTGCTTCATGTGCAGTTTTTTTGTACTTAATTTGTGCTGTTTTATTTGTTATACAGGAACAGAATTGGATGATATGTATTAAATACTCATGAATCAGGATTTGAGATGTTGTAAACCCCAAAGTTAAAAATATTGGATTTATAATTTAATCAATTCAATTCAGTTTATTTATATAGTACCAAGTCACAACAGAAGTCATCTCAGGGCACTGAACAGAAACATGCATAAAAAGTTAAGTTAATAACATTATTTATCTGATAAGATAATTCTATCAAAAACTTAGATTTTAATTTTTATTAGTCCAACCTGTTAACACATTACACATACGTTTTCTATCCTGAAATAGGGTTTAAAGTTGCATTTATAAGCACATACCTCATAATTACAAGCATTTTATTTATTAACAGGAAACATATTTTCAAATACTATTCATTAATATGTGAAATGACTTATCACTTGTTCTATTATAAGGCTCATTATGATTGTTATATCCGTTTTACATGTGAAGCATTTTCCCAGAGAATAGGAGACTTGGGGTTGTTGGTAGGACTGCCGCAGGGAGAAGGTCAGCCACAAATGAAAAGGCTGCATTGTTTTCCCTGAAGACTGTGAACAAACAGCATGAGGTCATCGGGACCACAGTGCGTCCTTCTCTGATGCTGATGGCACCCCTCATTGGATTACAGTCGACTCAGCTTCGACCAGCACCCTTTTTCTTCCACTGCAGCCACAGTTCTTTCATTGCACCAGCCACTGAGCTATATTTGTAACTTTTTGTAACAAAAAAATCCAGTTTGAGTTTCAGCTTTTTGATTTTGTCCTCATTAGTTTCACATTAAGATTATTATTATTCAAGCCATGCATTTTCTGGAATGTTAATATTTTATTCACACTACATAAAATAATTTGACGGCATTTACATGAAAGTTACAGCAGAATTGAACATAAAGCTGTTAGAAACACTTATTTATTCCTCTTTTTTCATTATGCATCATCTGAAACCCACATCCATATTATTTTACATCCTTTCCACGTTCATCCACATGTTTCATGTGAACCAGCTGATCAATGTCTCATTCCAGCAGCGATGGCGAGTTAAAGTAAAGACTAGTAATCCAGACACCAGCTGTGCAGCATATTCGGGTTAAAATGTGGTTCTGATGGCTCTCTGAGCTCACCAGTCGTTGCAGCTGATGGACAGCTGTCCGTGTTCTCCTGTGTGTTGGTGTTCAGGTTTACGAGAGCAAACTGCAGGAACTTCAGAAACAGGTGGAGACTCGCTCTCTGGTAGCAGAGACACCCGATGAGGAGGAGCTGGAGGAGGAAGAGGAGGAGGAAGGTGTGTATGGTTGGGATTTTAGTCCTGAAGCAATCTCTTTGCAGTACACATTTTATGCAAGCCACAAATGTAATTTGTATAAAAGATATATTTTTGTTTTTCACATTTTTTCTCTCTCTAGAGCCTAAATTACTGGGACGTGGGTATACATTTTTATTTATTTTGCGTATCATCACCTTTTTAAAATCAAACGTATTATTATTGTCCTACTAATCATCCATTAAAGCTTAACGTCAGACTTGTTTATGAACATTTTAAATAAAACATTAATAATCTAACGGTCTAACTTAAAAAAATCTTAAGGGTTTAATGTACGAGTCATAAACCTTTAGTTGTTAACATTCAAACCATTGTTTCACTTTAAATAAATGTTATTAGGTTATTATTTGAACTTAACATAAGCGTTGTGTCTACTTATCCTTCTGGGTAGCTCCTCCTTAAGTCAAAGTGTCATTGGCTGCTTTGAATTTTGTCTATAGAAGCAGAAAGAGAAAAAAAAAACGTTCACAGTTTGGTTTTTTAAGAAGCCCAACCCTGAAACAGCCGATTCCCCTGCGTTTCCAACAATTAAAAAAAAAAAAAAAAAAATCCTGCTTTTGAAGATCATTGAATATCTGATAGACATCAAAATGCAGTCAGCTTTTGCAGGAAAAAAATAAAGGTGATATTCCACAAGGTATCTAATTTTGCTGTATTTTCAACATTACATTGAAATGGAATAGATCTGTGGAGGGAAAACACTCAAAACCTCTCAAAAATGTCCTTTCAAAGTTATTGCAAATATTTTGCATGCACACTTGTGTTGTGACTATTATATTTATGTCACTTGTGTCTTTGTGTCTCCACAGTGCCGTGGACCCAGCATGAGTTTGAGCTGGCTCAGTGGGCCTTCAGGAAGTGGAGGTACCATCAGTTCACCTCCCTGCGAGACCAGCTGTGGGGGAACGCAGTCTACCTGAAGGAGGCCAATGCTATTAGCGTGGAGCTAAAGAAGAAAGTAAGAGAATCAGATCTCAAGTTTTATTAATCATCTTTTGATTTTCATGAGTCAAGTTTCAATTTTTCATGATAAAGGGAATACCATATACATGTATTTATTTACAAGTAGCAGAGGTGAACAAAAGGCACTATTAGGAGTGCATTTGAGCTTCTGAGTTAGCTTTTTCCCTATATCTTTAAAAAGGGAGTCCATGTGATTGTGGTTCAATTATTGCTCCTCTCAGTTCTCTTTAGTTTGTTGCTCTTGATCTGATTCAAGGCTGTTTTATCATATTGCAGGATGACGTGTTGCATATTATTTTGACAAAACATCTAAACGGAGACGCAAAGAACTCTTCGTGGAGGAGAGAGAGTGTCACGAGGGAAACTGAAAGCATCTGCTGATGTTTTTGGATCAAAGCCTTTTTGCAGTCACAGAGAAGCTCTTTAAGCTCTTTTTTTTCTTGGAATATGATGATTTTGTTGGAGCTGACTATTTGAATTAAAAAGCTTTATCTTCTTTATAGTTAGTTTTAAGTTTTTATGAACTTAAGTTGATATAAACACTTGGCACATTAAGATAAGCTAAGATGAGACAAGGTAGAACTTTATTGATCCCACAGGAAATTGTTGTGCCAGAGTTTCAGTACAAAGGATCAAATCACACAAGATATATAAAAATAACAGAATATAAAAAAATAACAGAGAATATAAAAATACCAGTAATTAAGTTCTAAAACAGGTCAGGTGCATAAAGAAACATTAAAGTGTTTACTGTAGTACAGGATAAATGTTATTGTCCTATGTGTAGAAAGGGGGAGGAGCTGAAAAGTTTGATAGCCACAGGGAGGAAGGACTTCCTGTGTTGTTCTGTGGAGCACCTTGGTGGTCTCAGTCTACGACTGAAGGTGCTGCGGTAAGAGTCCAGTGTGTCACGCAGGGTGTGTGACGTGTTGTTCAGGATCTGGAGCAGTTTCCTCAGCATCCTCTGCTCAGACATCTCTGTCAGAGACTGCAGGTCCACTCCCAGAACTGAGCCTGCTGTCTGGACGAGCTTATCAAGTCCGTTGCAATCAGCTTTCTTCACCCTGCTGCCCCAGCACACCACAGCGTAGAAGATGATGATAATATAATTTAATTCAATTGAGTTTATTGATATAACGCCAAGTCACAACAGAAGTTATCTCAGGGCACTGAACAAAAACAGGGAGAGTCGGGCGGGTGGCCGGGCGGTCAAATGTGCTGAAGGACCAAGGCTGGTCCACAAAACGTGTACCTTTTTAGTAAACAGGACTGTGCATAAGCCATTTGTTTTACATAATTTAGATTACAGCATTGATCCAACTGTCAAGTATACTGTTTGAAATGGTCACAACTCGAAAGCTGATGTGTTGTAATTTACCTTCCTCATCTTGAAACCACTATGATTTATACTCTCCACCATGTCTAGATTCTACATGATTGATTACATGTCCTGTCTCTCAGGTCCAGTTCCAGTTTGTCTTGCTGACAGACACGCTGTACTCTCCGCTGCCCCCTGAGCTTCTGCCCCCTGATCCAGAGAAAGAGCGTGACCCCAGACCTTTCCCTCGCACTGTGGTGGCCGTTGAGGTTCAAGACCTGAAGAATGGAGCCACGCACTACTGGTCCCTTGAAAAACTCAAGTAATGCTTGTACTATACCTACTCAACCTAGCAGTAGGTTTTAGTTAAGTTATGTATAATTTAGCTTTAAAGATTGCTTTCAGATGTATTTTAAAATAGTTAACATATCCCAAGTTTTTGTGTGTTATCAAGCGTTTAAAAAAAACATCATTCTTTTATATTTTTTTTTCTGCGTGCTGTCTTATAATTTCTCCATGTCCTCACCCCAGCGGTTAAATGAGCTCCGTGTTCTAGTTCTGCTCCCATTAATACTGAGTGCACTCTGTCGTCATTTGCAGGCAGAGGCTGGAACAGATGAGAGAGATGTACGACCGTGCTGGAGAAATGGCCTCCACTCACCAGGATGATGGGGAGGGAGCTTTGACAGGAAATGATCCCTTCTACGACCGTTTCCACTGGTTTAAGCTCGTCGGGAGGTGTGTAACACAAAACACGCAGTATTACACATCTGAAATAACCTGAAAGGTTTTTGTTGAGGCTGTGTTTGTAGTTTAAACTGGATCAGATTTTTTTTGGCAAATGAAACTATACTGAAGCAGGTTTTGGATTTAAAATTAATTAGCTTTTTTATTATTATTATTATTCCATTTTCCACTGACATCGCTTTCTATTTGAGGCTCATAAATCAGTGATTTTCACGTTTCTGTCATCATATTGTATCATTGATGTCTGCTGATGTTTTCTCCCTCATGTAAATCTTTCACTGTATTTTGTTACATTTGTGATTTTATTCCTGTTTTTTTTTTTCATCTCATTTTGAGTTGTTTTTTTGCCACCATGTTTTACCTACTTTTATTTGTTTTGTTTGTTTTGCATTACATGGTCTGTTTATTTGGTTGCCATTCTCATTTTGATATTCCCTGTAATTCTCACATAAGCTTGTTAGCATTATGCTGAGTTTGAATAATGTGGAAATGTGCTGCATTTTGTGTTTTATCCTCTTTCACACAGACTTTATGAGCAGATTTATAGGTTAATCCATTAAAGTGGTTTTTCATTTAGGTTTAAAACGGTCAGGTTTTTAAAAAGCTGCTGTGACACCTTAATACCTGCTCTTGGTGAAATGAATCCGGCTTCTTCGTAAGCTTTTTGATTAGTTTCACACAAACGTGAACCCATACGATTTTATTTTTCCATTTAGTTTCCACTCAGTTTGGTGGATTACTCATTTTTTGTGTCCTGAAACTTCCAAACATATGTGTAAACAAAATAGTCCAAAATGATGACACTGATGCCTCACAAAGCTGCTGTGGTTTGTTTCATTCTTGTGACTCCACTGTTACCTTTCCTTGGTTCTCGCCACTGTTCCCCAAATTGCCAACCCCTTCAGCTCCCCCATCTTCCAAGGCTGTGTTAATGAGCACATGGTTGACCGCACACCCTCTCCCACCTTCTCCACCACCGACTCTGAGATCACCGAGCTTGCGGATGAGCGACAGAGCGAGATGTCCGACATTATAGATGATGAGGCGTTTGTGGACGACACCAGCTCAGACGCAGGCACAGAGGAGGGCTCGGACATCTTCAGTGATGGCCAGGACCCCTTCTACGACCGCTCCCCCTGGTTCATCCTGGTGGGAAGGTTGGTGACTGACAGGGACTTTTTTTTTTTTTGTCCCTTTGTGCACAGAGGCTGGGGCAGGAGAGTTGGTGTTGGCTTTGTTTAAACCACAAGGAAGATGATCAAATTAATGTTGAAGCAAACAAACAAAAAAATATATTATTTAATTTAACATCCAACAACTCAGAGGCTTAGAAATCCGAGTAGATACTATATGCATATAATTTAATAATCCTTAAGCTTCTTTTGTGTAACGTCAGATCAAGGATTCAGAGCAGTCTGAAATAAATTGGGCTCTTTTTCACATTTGAAATGATTAGTCATTGCTCGGTACTTGTTTTATAAGCTACTTGTAATTTGGACTCATTTCCTGAGAACTGAAAAGCCACCATCTTTGTCTGCCCACCTCCTTTAGTGAGATATCTCATCCTCCTTCACCGATGTGCTGACTGTATTAACTCCATCTGTGTGTGAATTTATTATGTACAAGCCAAGTATTTGTCTTTTTTTTTTATGATTTCAAAGTTTGGTGTCTGCCTTTTGATTTCTGTCATTTTCTCAAATTTTGTTAAAATTTTGTTTTTGTAACCCTTTTTTGTTTTAACATTGCTCTTAAAATGTATTGTGGTATGTTACCTCACTAGCAGCTGACAGTCATACTGAACAAAAATACAAACACAGTATTTTGTTTTTGCTCCTATTTTTCATGAGCTGAAGTTAAAGATCTAAGACTTTTTCTATGTACACAATAGGCCTTTTTCTTTTTCACAAATATTATTCACAAATTTGTTTTAATCTGTGTTAGTGAGCACTTCTCCTTTGCCGAGATAATCCATCCACCTCACAGATGTGGCATTTCAAGATGCTGATTATTGCACAGGTGTACCTTAGGCTGACCACAATAAAAGGCCACTCTAAAATGTGCAGTTTTATCACCGCACAATACCACAGATGCCACAAGTTTTGAGTGAGTGCGCAGATGGCATGCTGACTGCAGAAATGTCCATGTTCAGAGAATTTGGCAGTACGGTACATCCAACACGCTTCACAACCGCAGACCATGTGTAATGACAATAGCCCCTATGTTCATTGTCCAAAACTTAAGCCTGCCCATACCATAACCCCACCGCCACCATGAGCGGCTCGATTCACAACATTGACATCAGCAAACTGCTCATCCACACGTCATAAAACTGGGATTCATCTGTGAAGAGAACACCTCTCCAACGTGCCATACTCCATCAAATATGAGCATTTGCTCACTCAAGTCTGTTACAATAGGCGGCACAGTGGCTCAGTTGGTAGAATTGTTGGCTCGCAGCAAGAAGATCGTCGAATCAAATCCCGTCCAGGAGCCTTTCTAAGTGGTGTTTGCATGTTCTCTTCGTGCATGCGTGGGTTGTCTCCGGGTACTCCGGTTGCCTCCCAAAGCCCAAAAACATGCATGTTAGGCTGATTGGTAACTCTAATTTGTCCTTAGGTGAGAGTGAGAGAGTGAATGGTTGTTTGTCTCATTTGTCTCTGTGTCCCTGTGATGAACTGGAGACCTGTCCAGGGTGTCCCCTGCCTCTCGCACAGTAACTGCTGAATATAGGCACCAGTGACCCCCATGACCCGGAAAGGAAGAAGCGGGTAAAGATAATTGACTGATGGATGAAGTCAGTTACAGTGGCTAACTATAGTCAGGTGGAGACCCTGATGAGGACAACAAGCATGAAGATGAGCTTCCCTGAGATGGTTTCTGACCATTTGTGCAGAAATTCTTGGGTTATGTAAACTGAATGTTGCAGTAGCTGTCTGGGTGGATGGTCTCAGACGATCTTGGAGGTGAAGGTCCTGAGCTAGTGTGGTTGTACATGGTCTGCGATTGTGAGACTGGTTGGATGCACGGCCAAATTCTCTGAAACACCTTTGGACATGGCTTATGGTGGAGAAATGCACATTCAGTTCATGGACAACAGCTCTGATGGACATTCCTGCAGTCCGCATGCCAACTGCACGCTCCCTCAAAACTTGTGACATCTGTTAATTGTGCTGTGTGACAAAACTGCACATTTTAGAGTGGACTTTGATTGTAGTCAGCCTAAGGCACACCTGTGCAATAATCATGCTGTCTAATCAGCATCTTGATCTACCACACCTGTGAGGTGGATGGATTGTCTCGGCAAAGGAGAAGTACTCACTGACACAGATTTACACACATTTGTGAACAATATTTAAGAGAAAAGCACCTTTAGTGTATACAGAAAAAGTCTTAGGTCTTTAAGTTCAGCTCTTGAAAAATGGGAGCAAAAACAAAAGAGTTGTATTTGTTTGTTCAGTGAACAGTGATTCAGTGATTTGTTGGAAATCCTCATTCAGATTAAATAATATCCAGATAACCTATAAAACTTTCATTGTCAAACCATTAGCTGTTTTTTTTTTTTACTTTGATCCATTGGAGCTCATGTGACATATACTGGTAGTTGGTTTGCAAATCATCATGGCATGGTGTTCTTAATGGGTGTGATTATTGACAATGATCAAAACACTTTGGTATTCCTCTAGTCAATTTGATACTAATAAAGTTCATTCTATTTTACCATTTCAATAAATATTTTTGTTTTTCAACATAATTTCTCCAGATATATACCCACAGACTGCAGTCTCCTCTTCATGCAGTCGGCAGCTGTGCCTAATCTTTCAAGTATTTCTTGATCTCCAACAATTTTCAGTCAGGTCATATGGACAGTTTCTTTTTTTGCTGAAACGTTTCACCTTCCATCCAGAAGGCTTCATCAGTCAAGGAAACACAACACAAAACTGATTCTTCCCCCAAATGGCTTACTCCAAAGTGGAACAAACCAGTTATGTTGGTGCTAAGATGGTGTTTTTGGCACGCCCCCTCCTCTCGTGCCAGCCCTCTTCCTTGTCAACAGTCATGTCAAACTGGTTCCACTTTGGAGTAAGCTGTTTGGGGGAAGAATCAGTTTGTCTGTTGACTGAAAATTGTTGGATTATATACCTGGATTATTGAGCATGGACTTTTTTCTTTTTTTTCTTGATCTAGACTACTTGGAAAGACTCTTGATGTATTATTTTCTAAATAATCCTGATGTTTGTTTTTTGATGCATCCTTTAAACCTTTAGTTGCATCCTAGAAAGCAAACATGTAATTAGAAACCAAACCTAAAGAAACTTTTGGAATTTTTAAATTTTATGTGGCGTCATCAATATTGGATTAGGTCTGAGGAACACGTGAAGCTACATATTTTTTTAGTTTTTAACTAATTGGTCACACACACAGAAATAAATAATATTCAGATGAGTGTGATGTTAATGAGCTATAAAATATGTACTATTTTCAACCTTTTCTGCAAAAACTAATTCTGATTTATTTTGAAGAGATGGTCATACGACCCTAAAACAGTTCTCACTTTACTTTGCATTTGTTATAAACTTTCTAAGATAAGTATCTTAGAACTTGAAGGATTAAACTAATATTTCTAAATCCAGAACACATTTAACATGCCATGTCAGTGCTGTAAACACAACAGATTTGTAATAATTGTGTTAGACTCACAATTAGCTGACAGGTCAGTGCTTACAGCCAGACAGAACCCACAGTGGCTGACACCTGCGTCACTGGGACTTCAGAGATTTCACTGGTTGATCTTGGCCTGAAGTTTTTCAGCCCAGAGTTAGAGAGATTTTGCAGGGTAGAAAGAAAGAACATCTCAGAAGGTGCTTTATAAATAATTCAACAAATCAAAATGTCAGCAACTGTGACTAACATGGTCCTAACAACATGGTAAACACCCTTTATTTTTATTTTTATTTTATTTTTTTTTACAGCCTTTGCAGCTGCATCTTGTTGTTCTGTCATACCCCCATCTTGCAGAAGACAAACAAGTTTAATCTGCTGCTGCTTATAGATAACAGATTATCTTTTAACTTTATCAGTTTTTTTTAATTATTTGCTTGCTTCACATAATTGTTACATTTTACCTTATGCTATTGTTGTCATTAACATGTACTAAACAAAAGTGGACATGTTGGATGTTTAAACTGCTGGATCACAGATCTGGTTCTTGTGTACACTGCTTTTTGTAGGTTGTGTTAAAAACAACAGATAGTATTGCAGTTACACACTTTCTTATGATGTTGTCTGGATCAGAGTGCTGCTGAACTACTGTGAAATTCTCATCACTTTTTTCTCCTTTTGCTCTCAGAGCTTTTGTGTACCTCAGCAACCTGCTGTACCCTGTGCCACTTGTCCACCGGGTTGCCATAGTAACAGAGAAGGGTGAGGTGCAGGGTTTCCTGCACGTGGGGGTCCAGGCCATAGCTGGTAAGATTCTCTGAGCAGATAAAACTAGTACAAGCGCCACAGGACTTTTTGTTTTTTGCTGTTTCAGTAAGATCATTTACTCCATATAAATATGTGGTTCTGACTTTGCTTTAAAAGCAGTCAAGGCAACAGGAAGTAGGGGTGTCCTGAAGCTACAGATCTGCTGGCGAGCAGTGATTCCCCGAGATGCTTTATATATTCTGTTTGATGTGCTGAGGCAGTTAAGTCAGCTGTGTCTCCGACAGATTGTGATCACAGGTTTGGCTTGTGTCTTTGTAGCTGACGAGGAGGCTCCAGACTACGGATCAGGAGTGAGACAGTCGGGAACCGCCAAGATTTCTTTTGATGATGAGTACTTCAAAAAGGTAAGCCTAAAGTCAGATGAAAGAAGTTTGAAACTCACTTTCTTAGTTTGTAAGACTGTGGGTGTGTCATTTTGAGTGTTGTCGTCCAGACAGATGGTTTTAGCTCAGAGTTTGGAGGTTATGCTCTTGTATAATTTGCAGATATTGTTTCTATGCTTATTGGACCATAGCTGTACAACGAAAACACATCAACACAGGTTGATATTTGGCTAATCAAGTTCTCTCTGTGAGCTATATGCTAATTTCTGCTGTTTATCCTTCCAATCAGAATGATTTTCCCTCTAATGTCATGACCCGCTCTGGCTTGTCCCTGGAAGAGCTGCGCATTGTGGAGGGTCAGGGTCAAAGTTCAGAGGTCATCACGCCCTCAGAGGAGCTCAACAGAATTAATGACATGGGTACGGCTACCAGACCTTCACCTCTTCATTCGTAAATTTCAACCTGTCAGGCCAGTGGGAAACACTTGCCAGATGGTCCTATCAAATGCAAAATAAGAATTTATTCCTCTTTGTCATGGAAACTAGATTGCTGTAGTTTTTGTGAATGAATCTTTCAAAGGCTGAATTATGAGTGAACAACAGAATCCCTTCTACAAATCCTGAGCTTTAAAAGTAAAACAAATCTGAGGCCAAGAATTCACAAGCTCACAGCTGCAGCTGTTGGCCACTTTAGATAAATCATCTTGCAAGTCTCACTGAGCTTGCCTGTTCTTCTTTTCAGACCTTAAACTGGGTAATGTCACAGACACCAAGCTGAGCCTCAGTGAGGGGCTGGCAGGCCAGCTGGAGGTGGGCAGCATCTTTACCTTCCGTGTTACTGTCCTCCAGGCCAGCGGCATCCCCCCTGAGTATGCTGACATCTTCTGTCAATTCAAGTGAGTCATGAGTTTCCTTTTTAATTATGTTAAATCTGTACAGTTTTCTCCATCTTCAGTGACTTTCTTTACAAAACTTTTACATGCATTATATTTACATGTGTATACAAAGGAAAACATTAGTTGCTGTAAAATGAATATCGGCTATAAAAAATTACTTTATAGCCCTTATGTTACTTCAAGAAAACACGTACTCGGCTGGTACTAAATTCAAATTATACAGCTAATGCATTTTTTTTTTTAATTATGCCAGCAGACAAAAGGAACATATGTTTAAGACAAATCTTACAGAACGACTTCATTTTTTAAAATGTAAAATAAATTAACTCGACACCCTCAAATGATTTTTTTTTTTTCCCTCAGTTTCCTTCATCGTCACGACGAGGCTTTTTCCACAGAGCCTTTGAAAAACACAGGCAAAGGAGCTCCTCTGGGCTTTTACCATGTTCAGAATGTGAGTACACTCACACACACACAAGTATGCACATAATGTGTACTTTACCTGAGGCTGATGGCTGTGTTTGTTACTGTGAGGGCAGATTTCAGTGGAGGTCACAGAGTCTTTTATGGAGTACATCAAGACCAAGCCCATTGTGTTTGAGGTGTTTGGTCACTACCAGCAGCACCCGCTGCATATTCATGGCCAGGACCTGATCAGGTTGGTTGGATTAAATTCTGCAGTGATTCATATTTTATTTCTGTTAACTGCTTTTAATTAGCTGCTTGGTGGCTGTTTTTTTTTTTTTTTTTCAAGAAACATTTTTCGAGGTTACAATAATTTTTCTCTTAACAGTCCTCCAACACCTTCAAGAAAATATTATCCCATTCCCATGCCTCTGTCTAAACCAGGTATGAAAATTTAAATAAATAAATTATATTATAATCCTCTGTCTTTGTTTCTCCAAAATGTTTGTTCATTTTGAGTTTGTTTAAGCATGCCTCTCATGTCCTTTTACTTTTTTCCATTTCTTGCTGTCTTTGGATTTTTCTTGTCTCTTATTGCATCATTTCTCTTCTACATATAATCCTCTTACCCAAATCTCTCCTCCACATTTTCTTTTCACGCACATCCCTTCCGATCTTTGTCACCGTTCACACGATGTTGCTCACCCAGACCACACCCGTAAGATAGAGTTAATCCGCTACCTTGTGAGCGGCTATGTGAACGGTAAAGTGCTGGACACGCTGTCTGAGCACGCCAACGCCCTCGCCTCAACTGCGGTGGCCAGTCTGGAGGACGAGGCTGACCAGCTCTCACACTTCCCGTTCCTCCTAGTGCTCAACGACCCCGTGCTAACTGTGCCCAGGCACCATGGTTGGTACAACTGGTGTTTGGTGTTAGCCATTAGAGGCACTTGTCCTGTTTGGATTAGATTAGCGCTTTGCTCTTGTAGTGCTCTGTGACTGCAGGTGTACCGGTGCTCCGCAGTGCGTCGCACCTCACTGCAGGTGTATTTAGTCGGCTCAGTCCAACCCTTCATTATTGCTTTAAAAACAGTAGATGCACTGCATTTTCAACATGTCAAGGAAAATGATTAAATGGCTTTTAAAATTAAAAAAAGTCTAAATCAGACTTCAGAGTGGTAAAACTTCCTGCATTCCATTTGTAGCAGAGAAACACTTTTCTCTTAAAACCAGAGATTAGCTTGATTCTACTGCAGCATAATCCTGGTGACGTTTCAGATAAGATGCTGTCAGTTATATTTATTTTTTATTTATTTATTTATTTATTAGTTATGGTTCAACCTGTGAGTTTATTGCACTCGGCTACAGTTTTATTTTTAGCTTCTGTTTCCTGCATGGAATCGTTTTATTAAAAATAAATAATGTGACATATCTATATGTGTTGGAGCTCATGGCTCTGTATCCAGGCTCATAGCACATATCTGTGTCCATTTTGTATTTCAACTTTCCTGAAATTCAGGTAAATGTTTTATTAATTAGAGTTTTTGTGTTTTGATTCTTTTAGTTCCAGCCACCAAGCTGAACACAATCACCAAATCAAACCTGGGTCTGTGTGTCAGCAAGTATGACCTGCTCGTCTGGTTTGAGATCAGCGAGCTGGAGCCCACTGGAGAGTAAATATCTGTCCGTTTACGTTCATTCACATATGCAGTCCAATAACACCAGATTATTTGATACAATGTGATGGATGCTCATGTAAACGTGATACATGTTGGAGTGGAGTCCGACCTTACAGTGCTCATGTAGCAGATGATGATTTCACACATTCAGTATGACCTCACTCTATCCACAGGTACATCCCAGCTATAGTGGATCACAGTGCAGGACTTCCCTGTCATGGAACCTACCTCCTGCATCAGGTAACGGAGAACTACACTGTCCAAAAATAGTCAGATGAGACTTGTTTCCTTACATTTTGCCAGAATATGAATAATGCAGAAGGTTTACAAGAGTAAATGTTATTTTTTTGTGGTTGTGAACGTAATATTTTGTTGTTTTTCCTGCAGGGGATCCAACGCAGGATCACAGTGACTCTCATACATGAAAAAGGCAGCGAGCTGCACTGGAAGGATGTTCGTGAACTGGTTGTGGGTGAGTAATTTTATCTCGTGGATTAAAATCTCTTCTGAGCAGATGGAAAAAAGATTCAACATCACCGTCAAAGTTTAGATGTAGAAAGAAGATTTTCCCACTTGCTAGTTGACAATTGAACACAGCATGTTTAGAGTAATTTCAGTCTGTGATGTAGAACTGAAAACATAAAGTACCACCTTGTTGTAGTGAAAAATATACTTTTATACTGTAGCTGCAGATCATGGACCAGATAATTAAATTTCACATTCTAGACATTTAGCTGCTGACACTCTTGTCCAGAGAGGCTTGTGATGAGTTCTGTACACTCGACAGCATGGCTGAACACAGAGAAGTTTTTGATTGTTTCCACATTTCACCAGAGGAAATTAGGCTTGTTATAATCACGCTGATGTGTTCCAGGCCGTATCAGGAACAAGGCTGAAGTGGACGACAGCGCAGCCGATGCTGTCCTGTCCCTGAACATAATTTCTGCCAAGAACATCAAGTCATCCCACAACACCAACAGGTCGGTGAAACACCTTCACAAAACTACTTTGGCTTTTATTAAGTCTGAATGAAAGAGCATAAACAACCTTTTTATGGTGTTCATCATTATCTGTCCATTTGTGGATTTTGGACATTTTGCTTGAATTTAGTTTTTCTTTGTCTTTTATGATGAACATGCATGTTTTTTTTTAGCTTTTTATATTTGCTCATGGCAAATATTGCATGTTGTTGTTTTTTATTGCTGATATTGTGCTCTTTTTCTGTGGCTGACTCTGTGTTTTTTTTATTCTGTGAACTATCTTCTCCTGCTGCTGCTGGACTCATGATTGTGTTCAGGCTTTCTATTGATAAGGATATTGATAGGTACCAGAGAACATAAGGCCTTCACAGAAGGACCTTTATGCTTCTTTTAGATTTGTAGATTTGTAGAAATAAGTTTCCCACTTTTTTTTTTTTTTCAACTTTCCCTGCATGTTGCATTAGATCTGCCTTTGGTTCTATTGATATGTAGCTTCTAAAATATCGTGGTAAACGTTCATAAACGACAAAAGGCAATCTTAAATGCAAATGCAGCTCTCCTTTTAGATTTCTCATGTGCATTTGTGCGTTTGTGCCTCTGATTCCAACCATAGTGATGTGTTGATTTTTTTTGTAGCTCCAATTATATTATTTTCCTTGTGAGTTGCTTTTCATTGAAACATCCGGGACCTTTACCTGGTCAGACTGGTGGACAACAGCACCACCTGCTGCCGGAAATAGGAATATCGAAAGCTTGAAGATATACTAATTTATTGGTACCACTTTACAATAAGGCTCCCCTTATAGATGGCTACTAAAAAGTTTATAGACACGTTATTAATTCCTCTATAAACACTTTATAAATCATTAATAATTGTTTATAATGCATTAATTATGGGCGAAAAAGAGACAAAACTGACCAGTTTCTTGTCAAATAGTGAACCAAATCTGTTTACCTATATATTTCATCTAGAGTTGTTATATTAAATATTTCAGACTAAGTTACTACCCTTTAATATCAATAAGCATTTGTAAACCTAATTTTTTTAGAATATAATATTGTACATTATCAATGCATTATAAGTATCTACATCTATAGATACAGTTTTGACTCTTTCTCGCCATTAATTAATGCATTTAAACAATTATTAATGATTTGTAAAGTGTTTATAGAGAAATTAATAATGTTTCTATAAACTATTTATTAGCCATCTATAAGGGGAACCTTATTGTAAAGTGGTACTAATTTATTTTAGACGGGCAGAGGGTAGTCATTTTTATTTTATTTTGTTTAAACTGTATTTTTACTTTAATGTAAAACACATATAAGCAGAACATTTTTCATGTATTTATATTTTACTTAATCTGGCTTTTGCTAAATGTCACTGAGATTCTATTATCTTTGTGACAAGGTCTCACCTCGTTGTGTTTCGTCACATCTTGTCATGACAGTGATAAGAGTGGGAGCCAGTCTAGTCACTGCAGAGTTCACCTGACCTAAACCATCTGAGCTGTGCTCAAAACCTCATTAACAGAAAGTCCCTCTCTTAAACCTTTTGACTAAATTCCAGTCTGCTGTGTCCCTGCTGGCCTCATAAGTCTAGTGTTTGCAAAGCAAGACTGAAAGTTAAGTGGTTTGTGTTTTTCTCGTTTCCCCTTTCAGAACTTTTTATCGCTTCGAAGCAGTGTGGGACAGCTCACTGCACAACTCACTCCTGCTAAACCGAGTCACTCCTTATGGAGAGAAGATCTTCATGACCCTGTCTGCATATCTGGAGGTCGGTCACAGCTTTTCTTTGCTGTGTTTTACCGATTAGCATTTTACATCACTGGATGTCCGCTCACGTCTCCTTTTCACAGCTGGACCATTGCATCCAGCCTGCCATTATCACCAAAGACATCTGTATGGTCTTCTACTCACGAGATGCAAAGATCTCCCCTCCCCGTTCTCTGAGAAACCTCTTTGGAAGTGGGTACTCCAAAACTCCTGACTGGTAAGTCTACAGGACGCTGCACTCTGCTTGTTACTGTTACATTAATAAACAGCATGTCTCCCCTTGTTTTATTGTGTTGAATTTGAACTTAAAGTTTTTATTTTTTATGTAACAGCAATCGAGTGACCGGCATCTATGAGCTGAGCTTGTGTAAGATGTCCGACTCCGGAAGTCCAGGTGAACCGATTTACAAAAAGTTCTAAAGAATATTTATTTACTGTTTTTGTAAACCAATGAGGAAATTGTTTTAATATTATTTTTTCTGAACAGGCATGCAGAGGAGGAGGAGAAAAGTCCTGGACACATCAGTGGCTTATGTGCGTGGAGAGGAGAACCTGGCCGGGTGGAGACCCAGAGGAGACAGTCTGATCTCAGAGCACCAGTGGGAGCTGGAGAAGATGGAGCAGCTACATGAGGTGGGTGGGACCTCAAAACTCCCCTTAGACCTTTCCTAGACTTTTCTTTTCATTCATTCAACCTTTATTTAAACAGATAAGTCACATTGAGCCTCGGAGACTCATTTACAAGTGAGATCTGTTTGAACAGACAATAAAAAGTGGTGAAAAATAACACATAGGGTTTGGAGATAAAAAAAAATTAATCCTAACACACTTTTAACCTCTGTTTGAAGGTCAACAGCGTGATAATGAAAAAAATCTTGCACACTAGCACATAATGACACCGACATTACGTGCGGGGGGTGGGGGGTGGGGGGCAATGAGCAGCCAGAGACAACACACAGAGGCACTGCAGAGTTCAGATAAAATTACTCAGTTCAAATGGTTCCCTCTGGAGAGATCCGTGCACACTCAGGGGGGTGCTGAGGACGACCAAAGACAAATCCAGGGTCCTGAAATGATGACAGAATGTTTATTCAGCTGGGCTCCTCTGAAAAGTCCATGGACATTCCTCAGTAGGAGGGAGGGAGGGGTAGAGCATCAGGTTTACAAAACTTCCAGGCAGTTTGTGATAAGATGCCCTGTCAAGGCCAGTCAGGGAGCCAAATTCAGATAAACACGATGGTTTTGCGGACAGGCAGAACTTTAATGACATCTACCTTGAGTCTGTGTCGGTCCACTCTGTTCCGAAACGTCCAAATTAAATGACTACACCACTGGAACGTGCCTGAGAATAATCCTCGAGATCTGATCCATTCTGCCAAGAGTCTGGGTGCTCGAGGCACGAACCAAGCCAACATATAAGGCAGGTAGCCTGACCAGGTCCAGATTTGCTGCCGACGACTTCCTTGTTTGTTGATAGACCAGGAACCAGCCCAATCCAAAAAGCAGGAACCAGTTATCATAAATCCAATTATAAATATGTCCTTAAAATCCACAGATGACAGCAGAGATAGACACATCAAGTCTTCAAAGTCGATGAGATATCCAGCTGCGTGCCAACAGGGCAAATCGGCTCACCTAAAGCCTGTCTTCTGTTAAAATAAATGTTATCAATTGTGTTGAGGGACCAACCGACCGAATCCAAGTCCATAGTTATGATTCAGAAGATTTGTAGAAGAGAAGCTCTAAAGCAGTTTCACAGACAGACAGAGCAAAAGCAAAGTGGAGAGGGAGAGGAGGAGACGTCCGCCCTTGAGAAGAGCAAGTGTTGAACAAAATATTTTCTGCTTTGCCTTCCTGCTACATTTCCCACTCAATAAAACAAGTTGAATAACCACAACTCGTGCCAAACGTTTGTCCTGTTGTTCACAGGTGGAGAAGACCCGTCACCTCCTCCTGCTGAGGGAGAAGCTAGGAGAGACGGCTCCAGTGGAAACAACTCCCACCACCAAGTCCCTAAGCGAGACTCTGTCTCCCAGCCTGAGCTCAGGAACTCTGTCCACCTCCACCTCCATCTCCTCGCAGATCTCCAGCACCACCTGTGAGAGCGCCATCACGCCCAGCGAGAGCAGCGGCTACGACTCGGCCGACATCGAGAGCCTGGTGGATCGTGAGAAGGAGCTGGCCACTAAGGTGTCACTACACTGGCAGCGAGTATTTCTGTCTGTGCTGCAGAGCATTCTGCTCCTCCTCCTGCTGTTAACTCAACAGTCTTTTAATTTTTTTATGTTTTTCGTAGTGCCTGCGCCTCCTGACACACACCTTCAACAATGAATACAACCAGGTGATCAACAGCATCAGTGACTGCAAGGTTAGAGATGACACAAAGAAATTAAAGTGCGGTGGACACGTTTATTTTGATAAACCATAAAGGAAGTTTGGCATCGCACAAGTTTTTAAAATAACTTTCGCCTCTGATTTTTAATTTTCTGTTTTCCCCAGCTGTCAGACATCTCACCCATCGGACGGGACCCATCAGTGACCAGCTTCAGCAGCGCCACCCTCACCCCCTCCTCTACCTGCCCCTCTCTGTCTGACTCCCGCTGTGGCTCCTTAGACCAGAAGTAAATATATCATTTTAATTACCACTCATAAAATATTTTCAGTTAAACCCGGTGTAGATCTTATTTCCCATTTGTCTCCTCGATGCTAACTTAAAGTTTTGTCTCTTAGGACCCCAGAGAACAGTTCTCGTGCCTCCAGCCCCTCCGGCTCAGATTATGAGAACTTCCCCCTAATTCCTACTCTGGAGACGTCCTACCTTGCACGAGCAGGAAAGAAGGAGTTCTTAAACTTGCTGCCTGATATTGAAGAGATGAGGCCAGGGTAATGTGCTCTAATTTAACTTTTTTTTCCTATTGCGTATAAAGTATTGTAGTATAATATTAGACAATATGAAATGTATATGAAACTTCAAACACAAGTAGTTATGCTTTATAAGTTTAGTTCAGTTTTCAGCTGAATGGAAACTGAAATGAATGTCTTGCTTTTAGAAAACTCAAGTTCAGAACAAACAATTAAATATAATAGATTTTTAATTGCTTTCTTTTGTTTTAGATCTGTTGTCTCCAAGAAAGGTTTTCTGAGCTTCATGGAACCGCGCTCCAACTCATGGGTGAAGCACTTTGTGGTTGTTCGTCGGCCGTATGTTTTCATCTACAACAGTGACAAGGACCCGGTGGAGCGAGGCGTCCTCAATCTGTCCACAGCCCAGGTGGAATACAGCGAAGACCAGCAGGCCATGCTCAAGGTAGAGGTCTGATTGATGTTAGAATAATCAACATCTTTATTTATTCAGAATCCCTTTTAACCAAGGCAAATAGCTCTAAGCAGTAATAGTTACACATTTGTTTACACATTAACAAATTTAGGCAACACAGAAGAACAACACATTTTGACTTTATGAAGTCTAGTAAAATGGCTGACACACATAAATACAACTCCCTCAGGCATGTTTCATGATAAATATTTTATGCTTTCTATTCAGACTCCCAACACATTTGCTGTTTGCACAAAACATCGAGGGATCCTCCTGCAGGCCAACAATGAGAAGGACCTGAACGACTGGCTGTACGCTTTTAATCCTCTGCTCGCAGGGACAATAAGGTACAGCATGCAACTCCTCTTTGACGTCTGTTTCTGAAATTACGTTTTCGCCTCACTGTGACATGTCGTCCTGACAGATCTAAGCTGGCGAGGAGACGCAGCGGCTTGACAAAGAACTGAGCGGAGCAGCACACTTGAACCTCCGGCTCTTTCTGAACAGCCTTTGAACATACCAAGTGTTAACACTTATTAATCATTGTGATCTTGACGGTTTTCTCTTGTAAGTAGACTTGTGGCTTAAGTCTCCTTTCATGCAACTAAAAGTTTCTGTTCCAGAGACGTTTTGCCTTCCTTGTTTCCTCCAGCTACCCCCCTCCTCCTGCCAGCTTTCCTTCTCTCCCAGCCTCTTTAACGTTTTGTGTTTGTTTTTGACCAATGTTTGGGTCAGATTTCCTTCTGCTTACTTGTCTCTCCTGAACTCCCTAACTAGTTGCATGATGTAGTAGTCTACTTGTGTGTGCACGGCTCGTTAGAAACAAGTTTTCAGTTTGCCGACCATCTGTAAAAAGAAACGTCTGTCAGTGTTATATTTGTCTCCCAAAATGACTTTTATTTATGTTTATTTCTGATAATGTGCTCGCATGATAACTGCAGCATTCCTCAGGAGAAATTTAACTGAAAACAAAACAAATCAAACAGCAAATAGTTACAATTATCAAGGGAAAATATACAAATAACTTCTTGTGATGTATTAGTTAATGCTCTGCAATGTGAATTATTGCTGCTAGTTTTTTTTTTTTATCTTATGAGATTTGCATCAGGCTGCTCAGCTCATCTGAATAGTCTTAAAACATAAAACTCAGTAATTTGAGCAAAATCCTGTGGAGCTCAGTGAGTTATGAGGGCAGAGCTGAATCTCCACCGTCCGTGTGACGTTTAGATCCCACTCCTCAGCCTCTGTACATACACCAGCTCCAACCCCCGATCGTACCAGTGTCAGTCGAGTCTGTGCATTTGTGTAAACATCAAACATCTAACTGGGCAAAACGAGCAAAAACTCACGATCTTATATCTCTGCAGTGGAAATAATGAGCTGGATTGTTCCTTAAAAAGTTAATATTTGTCTTTTTGCATTTCATCTCTAAGACATCACAGGGTTTGGAGAATACCAGAGGGAGGTGAGGATGGTGTTACAATCTGCTCTGGGATCAGTTTGATACTTAAATCCCATTTAAGGCATTCCTCCTAGCTTCTTTAACTTCTGCAAACAAGCTGAGCAGCAGAAATTTGTTACAAATATGTGATTGTGAAGGCGTAACATGGTGAGAAGAAGAAACGTGTTTTAGCCTTGACTTGAGCAGTGAGGCCTGATTATGACACGTTCCCTCACTGTCTCGCAAGCGTCGAGTAAAAAACCTCTAAAATGAAGTTTTTACAGTTCAGCAGCACCGCACGTCACCACTTCTACTTTTTCTCTTTGTGTTTCTGAATCGCAGCCTCCTCAACTAGTCTGTTTTTTTTATTAACATCTGTTACATTTTATCATGCTTTTGATCATTCCAGTTTTTATTTTATGAAATGTAACAAAGGGCGTTTATTTCTTGATTTGTAACCAGCATCTATTGGTGTTTCACCTGATTTTGCACAATAGTTCATATCTATAGCAAGTCTTAAGGCAGGTCACGCAGAATTTTGTTTGAGCTTCAGGAGCAAAGATTGAACGCACATGTCGAGGCTACACTGAACAATACGCAGGTTTTTAGAAGATTTATTAAACAGAATAAAGGGATGATGAGGTGAAATGTTTTATTTCTGGTGGTGTTAATGGAAATCTTTGCTCTGCACATCATGCTGATGCTACGTTTGGCTGCTGCCTCTGTCGAGACACGTGTTGGAAGCACAGATGAGCTTTGTTTAACTCTGGCCAACCAACCAGCAGTTTGCTCACTGTGTCACCTGAACGGGACACGAGGGTGAAAACAGAGATGCTCCAATTAGTTTAGTCTGTAAAAATGATTCCAACATGAACACAGAAAACATTTGACTCAGAAGTGACCCAGAAACTGTCCTCAGGTCAGCCAGCCTGCTGGTCAGAAACATCAAACCTGGATTGTTTCTGAGAAGACTATTATTCTGTTAAGGAGTCCACACCTGATATAAACAAGGCAACTATGCACTCATCAAGAGTCAAAGGTGTAGCGCACCTGCATGAACCTCAACAGGAAGAGATGCATATTTCTATCAGGACGTCAGAGCAAACATTTTCACATCGGTGGCTAATTTGCAGAGTTCTATTATTTTATATTGTGTATTTATTGTTTGCAATGTATATATTAGTTTGCAGCTCTTTGCACATCCTAATAAAAGGTTCAACTAACTGATCTAATGAAGTCTCCGCCGTTTAGTTGTTCTGCTCAAAATGAACCAAATGAAGGTTTGACTGCTTCGTCTGGCTTGAACTGAGAGTTGAATGTACCATTTAAGACGACCCCCCCCCCCCCCCCATTGTTTGAATAAAATGGAAGAGATCCAACCTGCTGCACCTTTTCAGGAGATGAGTTGCATTAGTGCTTCCTCTTTATCAGAAAGTGATTTAAAAAGTCTGATTTTAGTTTTGAAGAGTTTTTATTTGCTTCTCGTGTGGGCCAGGCTTCTGACTACCTAACAAAAGGTCATTTTTATCCGTTTATTTCCTCTAATATCAGGGACCATAACATAAAGTAGCTAATAGGCATAAAAATATCACATTATTCTTTTTATTGTGTTGGTGATTTTTTTTTTCACCTCAACAATTTTTTTTTTCCGTTGATGCCTTTTAAAAAAATAAAAATAAAAAAAAGTCATGATGCTTTCAGTTTTTCCCCTCAGAATAAATATCAGCTACACTTTTCCTATTGGGATTTGTTTGTTGAAAGAATAAAGGACAGCATCAACGCTGTACATTATTTGTCGCACTGGTTTCATTTTCATACTGTGTAAATATCTGTGTTGTATGGAGCTTGAACTAAACTGTAAATATGTTTACTGTATTTGTAATAATTATAATCCATTCGCTGTATAGCATAGATGTGTCATGCAGATATCCTAATTCTGTGTATGGTAATCTTGCACCACTGAAACTGTTTAGTGAATGAGGCAACAATAAAAGTGCAAACTGTGCGTTAGCAGAACAAGTGCTGCCTGTTTGTCCTCTGCTTTGTCTTCAGCTTCACTGCTGTTTGGGAGAGATGGAGGCCCATTTCAGACTAAATAAAAACTAATGTTCGGAATAGGAAACACAAAATAAATTCCTGTTTCAAACCTTTAGAAAAAAGGAAACTTTAGCTGACAGCATGATCATTTCCTAACATTTCAGAGTACAGTATTTTCCGGCGTATAAGTTGCAGTTTTTTGCATAAATTTATCAGTCCTGCTGTGACTTATATAAGTTTCTTTTTTCCATATTCATAATGCAATTTTTGACTGAATTTAAATTTCGAAGAACTGGGACAGCGAGTCCTCCCATGCACGCTCGTTTCACTCAGCTGGTGGAGGCAGAGGATCGCTGGAGAGCTAGCAGCTCCAGCTGAAATGAAGCTGTTTTGACCATTAAATAAATGTATAATAAACGCGACGGGTCAGCGGTGACGCATAATAAATGCGACTTATACGTCAAAGCAACTTCTATGTTTTTTCCTCTTCATGTCTTTTTGACTGATTCAACTTCTACTCCGGAGCGACTTATACGCCGGAAAATACGGTAAATAAAAAGTAATGTTCAGTATAGGAAACAAAAAATAATTCCTGTTTCAAACCTTTAGAAAAAAGGAAATATTTTAGCTGACACTTTCCTAATGCTTTACAGGTGTTTCTACTTTCACAACTCCTTGTCATTGTTTTTACAGTTTGTTTAGCAAAAAAGTCAAAGTGAGAAGATGGTCTCTGTTTAGTTTTTACTTTAATTTCCAAAACTGATCATATACAGCAGAAATTTCCTATTTACTTATTTATTCTTTACATCTACAAATCTCAAGCAAGCTTGACAAGTTAAACTGTTGAGTGGCATTTAAAAGGGCCAAAACCTTTCAGGGATTATTTCAAACTTTGACCCTTCACCCTGAAACCCAGTGCAGAATAAGCCGTTCTGACATTAATTTGGTTTAGTGTAAAGTCATTTTTCATGTGAGCTGCCTCAAATGCTAATAAACCTCATACCACCAAATCTTCAATACATGACCTCAAGATCAGCTGAGAGGAACCTGTCTTTCATCATCACAAAACATGTTCAAATTAATTTTGTTCAAAGAAGTTATACCTAATATTAAATTCTCAAAACCTATTTAAATACACAGTTCAGGAGAATACATTTCTGAGATGAAAGATGTTTGACATTCTCTGATTTAATTAAATTAAAAAAAAAAAATCCCTTCTAAATCTTGATTAGGTTTGGTCATGCAGGGCTTAATAATACAAAAACTCACGATCTGTAAAATGATTGGCTGTAGGAGCAACCAATGAGAGACGCTATACCTCTGCTCAGGCTTCTGGACCAATCAGATATCCCAAAACAAAGTGGGTTGTACCAAAGACGCTCTCTGATTGGTGGATTCTGCATGGGACGTGCGTAAGTAGTGAAGTCACGTTGTGGAGAGGAACCAGGAAGTGCAGAACGAGAGGAGGAAATCTGAAGGAAAGGATTCAACTGAACACTTCTTACCTTATCCTTAATTCACCCGCAGAGCACGATGGCTGAGTGAGTTTTCGGAAGAGTTTTTACTCATTCAGATGGGGGTACACGTGTTTATTTAGTCAGGATTTATATTTTAACTAATTGTGAACGTTTTACCGACTACTACTTATCATTCATTATAATTGATCTATTTTGTTTGTTTGTTGCCATGCAGCCCTCTATTTTTTGTGTGTAGCAGAAATATACGATAATAAACCTGGGGGCTGTGGTAGCTTGATGGGCAGTGCCGTGGTGTTGCAATCCTGAGGTTGCGGGTTCGCATCCAAAAGAAATTTACTTACGATAATAAAAACACTGAACCTATGATATCGCTATGGACTCTGGGAAATGAAGTGAGCTTTTTAGTTGGCCATTTGGGTTCAGTATGTTATTTGCAACGTTACAACGAAAATCTAAGAATCTTAATTCTCACATTTTATTTTGCAGCCTGCTGGTGCTGCACATTAGGTCCTCTTAGTAAATGTGATTCCTCTTGTTTCCACAGAGCAGACATTGCACTTATTGGTTTGGCTGTTATGGGTCAGAACCTCATCATGAACATGAACGACCATGGCTTTGTGGTAAGGTCTTCATTTCTGTTGGTTTACATTTCCCGACGGACCCACTGTTCTTCCTCTAACTGAAAACGATCTCTGTCCAACAGGTCTGCGCCTACAACCGAACTGTGTCCAAGGTCCACGACTTCCTGCAGAACGAGGCTAAGGGCTCCAAAGTGATCGGAGCGGAGTCCCTGGAGGACATGGTGTCCAAGCTGAAGAAGCCCAGGAGGATCATCCTGCTGGTCAAGGCTGGACAGGCTGTGGATGATTTCATTGATAAACTGGTTGGTAGTTTTGCATCAACCTGCACTAGTGATGAGCTTTGCAGCACTTTATTGTGTGCTGTTATTGCTTTTTCTTTTAGGTTCCCCTTCTTGAAGCTGGGGATATCATCATCGATGGTGGCAACTCTGAGTATAGAGACACAACGGTAAGTTGCTGACACTCACCCTTTGGTATTTCTAAGAGCACATCCTCACATCTTGTCTTGTGTTCGTGTCACAGCGGCGGTGTAAGAGTCTGAAAGAGAAAGGCTTGCTGTTTGTTGGGAGCGGAGTGAGCGGTGGCGAGGAGGGCGCACGTTATGGACCATCACTCATGCCGGGAGGACATAAAGACGCCTGGTGAGCCTTAAAAAAACTGAAAATGTTGGGTATTTATATGCCCTGTTAAATATGAATATTAGTGAAGATTAGTTAGCTGATTTTAATATGTAAGTTGATTAAATATTTAGTGTGTGATTTTTTTCCTTTCTTTTTTTCAAGGCCACACATAAAAGACATTTTCCAAAGCATCGCTGCTAAAGTCGGAACAGGAGAGCCGTGTTGTGACTGGGTGGGTGCATCGTTTGTTTCTTCAGTGCAGTTTTGTAATGTTTAATGCACTGATTGTATACAACACAACGGCATTATTGTAAAAAAATAATTTAATATTTAACAATATTGTGTCACTTGAGCAGGTTGGAGATGAAGGCGCAGGCCACTTTGTGAAAATGGTCCACAACGGCATCGAGTATGGAGACATGCAGCTGATCTGCGAGGCCTACCACCTAATGAAGGACGTTTTAGGGATGGACCATGACGAGATGGCACAGGTGAGGTGGTTCTAACGCCGCACCGTTGTTCTCAGAGCAGAAAAAGTGCCTGACTGAACTGATATGCCCTCAGGCTTTTGATAGCTGGAACAAGACAGAACTGGACTCCTTCCTGATTGAGATTACAGCCAACATCCTTAAGTACCGGGACGCTGATGGTCAGCATCTGCTGCCCAAAATTCGGGACAGCGCTGGACAAAAAGGCACAGGGAAGTGGACGGCTATTTCAGCACTGGAGTACGGCACACCTGTCACCTTGATCGGTAAGAGAAGGAAAGCTTGTAGAAGAGGAAGTACCTGGTTTCCTTCCTGCAGGTTGTTTTCAGTAAACCGTTATCCTCCTGCAAAGATGTTACAACACGCTTGAAAAGGTTTACACATACACAAGTTGATTTTAGTCCACACAAAGCTGCCAGTGAGCTTTTTCTAGATGTGATCAATATGAGGCTGACCTTAAGACGACTGGAGGCTTTTCTTCTGGTTTGCTCATCTCAGATGATTAAAGGGGATTTAGTGTTTTCTGTCACTGGATGACTGTGTCATTACCTGACACACACACAAGAGCAAATAAAAGTTGTGAAACACTCACCTTCAGGGTGTATGGCTGAAGTTAAAGTTACACAAAGGTCAGCTTTATGTAATATTAATTGTAGATCTTGTGTGGCCCAAACTGTCCCATCACCAAACCAATCCAGGCTTTGTTCAGACGGGTTATTTTCAGTCGTTTACTATCAGGGCTGCAGCTCTTGAACAAAAACCTTCATTGTGCGAGGACTGATCCAGTGGATGTGCAGCAGCGTGCATGGCTGGATTTCACTCCCACATGGACACTTTGTCTTGCGTCATTGTGCTGGGCAGTTTTTAGCAAGTCATGCTGACTCAGCCGGTTATTTTTCTTTTTACTTGACCTAAGAGGCAGTTGACAAGCATACAGTTTTTTTTTAGTTTTTTTTTTTACCAACACCAAGTGACACTCCTGCTTAAAATACGTCCAGAAACAGCCAACTGTTCTTCATTTATTCATTTTCTCTGCCTGCCCTGCTTGCTTTCTGTGTCCCAGGGGAGGCTGTCTTTGCCAGGTGCCTGTCGTCTCTGAAGGATGAGCGGGTGCAGGCCAGCCGCAGCCTCTCGGGCCCGCAGGGGGTCAAATTCAGCGGCAACAAGGATGCGTTCCTGGAGGACATCAGAAAGGTGGAACACGCTGCGCAGTTTCATTGCACAGCCACTGAAATACTTTGATTCAATACCTGTGATGTTAAAAAAACAAGGTTTCTGTGAAACAGTGTGAGGAAGAATAGAAAAATATCAAACTATTTTATATGATTCTGACCTTTGATTAAAAAGGAAAGATGTTCAACAAACAGCTTATCAGCTTCTGACCAGCAGCAAGTTGGGCACGTCTGGTCAGTTTTGTTAACACCATGTTTCATCCGTTCGTTCTGCTGAAGTCTTCTAGCTCTTGAGATGTTCCACGTGCACTAGGATTTGAAACTGTGTGCAAAGTTTAGATGATCTTTAAGGCTATGAGGACTGTAGCAAAACCTTCAGTTTGAACCTCTTGGGGTAGTTTGTTGTGGATCTTGGGGTGATTTTAGAACCAAAAGTAGCAACAAGTCATCTTCATCGTGTGTTTTCTTCCATCATCCATTATCTTTACCTGCTTCTTCCTTTTTGGGTTACTGGTGCCCATATCCAGTAGTCATTGGTGTGAGAGTCGGGGTACACCCAAGATGGGTTGCAAATACAGAACCCTTAAATGTTATTTTATTTTTTTAATAATTCTTCCCATCACTCCAGTCTGCTGAGGGATCATGGTGGTATTTTGGATGTCTGGCTTTCTAAGAATCTTGTAGTTAAATTTCTTAAAAAGCCCGGCAGCTGCACAGAGCAGTACTTATCTGCTGATTTTTATCAACAGCATATAAAAAAAAAAAAAAGAAGCGCTTGAATGTTTTTCTTATTAACTTTGGGGAAACAACGACTCTATCAAGTGTAATAAATGTTCTCAGAGAACTCACATTTCTCTAGTTAAATGCATGAAAGTTGTCTTTCAAGTCTCAAAATAACATGACTGTATCAAATCGAGACCAGTGGCTGCTGTGCATTTCATTATGGTGCTCCCGTATCCTACACATTAGGGTACGACCTCAGGATAAACTGCTCGTTCGTCTTTTTTCAGGCCCTTTATGCCTCCAAGATCATCTCGTACGCGCAGGGCTTCATGCTGCTGCAGCAAGCAGCCAAAGAGTTCGGCTGGTCACTCAACTACGGTGCGATCGCCCTGATGTGGAGAGGAGGCTGCATCATCCGAAGGTGTGACTAAAGTGACTTGTTTAAGCTTCTTCTTAGAAATATTGTGGGTTTAGTCATAGGCAGCGATAGTCCAGTGAGATGTCTTAAACTGAGAAGAGGAAACTTTTAACGTTGTGCCATAAAGGAAGTTTAAGGTTTTTGTTCCTCCCATCGGTTGTCATTTTAGAAAGAGACGTTATGTGAGCTTTAAAATCAGACGGAGAGAAGAATGAGGACATCGTGATTGTGACACTTGTTTGCTCTCTGTAATCTGGTTGCATCAATTTAAATCAAACTTCCAGCATGACTTGAGAGTTCACTACAAACGGTTGTTAACACATGAATACAAATATTCATTAATAATGGTGTTTTTAAAAACAGGACTGTTTTTCCCACCTATCTATTACATCTTTGTGCTCACACTGTTCTCTCTCCTCTCCAGCGTTTTCTTGGGTAAAATCAAAGAAGCGTTCGACAGAGACTCAGACCTGCAGAACTTGTTGCTGGACAGTTTCTTCAGTAAAGCTGTGCAAGACTGTCAGGTATGAGGAAGTGGTCATTTCAACAGCTACATTGACAAAGAATCTAATTGTTTCCTGTTTTTTAACAAAGCAAAGGGAGTGAAGCAATACTTGAACTTGTCGGCCTATTTGTTGCCTGTCTGACTTTTCTTATTAAAGTCTGATTTTTCCTTTTATTTTGTGTTGCTACAGAATGGACAGTAGCTTCACTTTCTTTAATCCAGAGTTTCTGAAGGTTTAAAGTTATCCAAATGAACTCGTTTAATAAAAAGACAAACTCTGCAAACATCTGTGATGCTTAAATGCATCTTTTTTTCATGCACAATATTGTGCACATTTGGATTTGTGGATACATACAGACAGGACTTGATTTGTAAACCAAACAATGCTAGAATGCAAATAGCAGTTAGGCTGGGGGGGGGGGGGGGGGTAGGGGTCCTTCCCCAGAGAATTTTGACTAATGTAGATGCCATTTCCTGCATTCTGGTATATTTTCATTTTACAAAGGTGTATTACAGTAGATTAGCATGAAACAAAAGATGTAAACTCTGTTATTATTGATATCTCTGACTGCAAAATGTTAGCAATGCAGAACCTCCGTCTTGTCGAAGCTCCAAAATTCACAGTTGAAACCCGTGCCTTCGTCTAAAAAGTTTTTCTCTGCAAAAAGAAGCTGAGAACTTGTTTACTGATTTTTATATTAAAAGCTTTGTGTGAAAAATGTTATGCTAAAGAGCTCAAACCACTCGGAGCATCCGCCATTTTGAGAACCGAAGCAAGACAGCCCATGTCACGTCAAGGAGCCTCCCTCCCATTTTTCTTAGAGACACGCTGCTCGCTCCCTCACTATCCATCCTTCAGTTCAAAGTCTTATACTGCCACCCAGTGGTCAAAAAAGATACTACACACAAAATAAATTAACCAGCATTTCTTCTTAAATTTGACAATAATTACAAATTATTGTAATTTTGTCAAATTTCAAACAATATTATTGTTTATCGCAATAATTTCTGAGACAATTAATCGCCCAGCAAAATTTGTTATCGTAACAGAACTAGTGTTAAAATTTAGGGGTGTTTGAGCACCCCCGAAAAGAGGCTAAAATCACCACTGAAGTCAGTTCATATTTATAAATTACTTTTAAACACTTTGTGTGATTTATAAGTGTATTAAGTGCAGGATCATTTCTTACCTTACTAGTTGTTTAGTATATCCCACACTGCATTCAGGTGCGCCTCCTCATCCTCCTCCCTGCTCTGCACCGTGGGACAACAAGCGCTGCTCTAAGTTTTTGGCCACACAGAAAAAAAACTGCCTCATATTTAGCACTTTGTCACGGCCTTAGAAAAGATGCTCTCAATCCTCTTGCTCATTTCAGAGAAGCGTCTTGGTCGCTCCAACATCGCTTCAAATACTCTGACTGCACGACAAAGGTCTTTATGAGCCGAGATCATCATGTCTGCTTATATAACTCCTGCAGTGATTCACACATCAGACTGTTCACAAAAGTGCAGGAACTTAGTGCAAAACGTTTAATTATACGTTAGTGTTTTTTAATGAAATTGCCTTTGAACTTTTAGGGCAGAGATTTTTTTTAAGAGTAGAAGCGGAAATGCAAAGCGACAGCTCTGATGTGATATTAGGAAGCTCACAATTAGTGTTTATGTAATTATTTTCAGTTTACATATCCAATATAGGTTTTATTCATTCAAGGCAGTCATATTTGTGCATAACTTTATTATTATTAGGCCTGAGTTACCAGATCCAAACAGTTACTGGAACACACCCTGTCAAAATAAGAGTTCCTGGCTGTTGTTTCAGCAGGATCTGGCACAAATCAAGTCCTGCAGACGGAAGTTTCACAGAAATTTGGTCCGAGCTCAAGTTTTCGTTTTCACTCCCAGAACCTGAGGCGTCGTCTCCCACGAGTTTGAAACGTGTCTGCTCTCTTGCTTTAGGAGTCGTGGCGCAGAACGGTTGGCGTTGGAGTCCAGCATGGCATCCCGATGCCCTGCTTCACCACAGCCCTGTCCTTCTACGACGGTTACCGACACGAGATGCTGCCCGCCAACCTGCTGCAGGTGAGGAAGAGTCGCTGCAGCCGAGCAGCAGCCAGAGCGTAACGGGATAAACATGGAGCATAGAACACGGACATTAGTTATCGCTCATTGTGTTGTAGATATTTAAGATTGCTTAGTTCTTGTTAATGATATTCGAGAGAAATTAGCCCTGCGTTATTGATGATGATGTTTTGTTCTTTTTAGGCTCAAAGGGATTATTTCGGAGCCCACACATACGAGCTGCTATCAAAGCCCGGTCAGTACATCCACACTAACTGGACCGGCCACGGTGGAAACGTCTCCTCGTCTTCCTACAACGCTTAATGAGCATTCTCTCATCGTTCTGTAAAATACACAGATTAGTAGGATGTTAACTGCAGCAGGACACGTTTCAAATCCCACCACCACCTGCTCCATTAACTTGTCTCAGAGATTATAGTTTTATTTATAAAGAAACTGTACAAACCCTCCTCGTCTTTTGTGACGTAGCAACAGAGAAGTGTCGACTCCACGTGGACATGGGTTAATGTTCACCTGTCTTGTTGGGTTCTCAGTGTAAACTCTGGATTAAGGTGAACCACCGCACGGTGCTGTAACAGGCTAAATAAAGATTTCAATCCCTTTCTAAGTAGCTTCAATGGTCCTTGCGTTCTGGGAGCTGGAAACAGGACTGAAGTGTGTTTACTGAGAGCTAAGGCAAAACTTTCCAAAAGCTGATCAATAAATGGTCAGTTTAATAAAAGGTGGACATGTGATGCAGCCCACTAGAACTTTGTTTACTGCAGATGTTCAGAAAACCCACAGTTTCACTTTTTTCCTGTAGATCAGGATGATTTTATAACAAGTCCCACAGCGAGATGATGTCTGCATCATGTCCACCAGATGGACCCAGGACCATTTGAACACGGTGGACACAATTCATCCAAAGTAGTCTCAATCAAATCTCTTAGGGCCTTTGCACAAACTGGTAACTTTTGCAAAGTTCTTAAATTATCCTTTTAATAGTTTTACCAAACTGTTCAGTTTAAGTTGTATTCAGAGCCAGTCCATGCCTCCATTGGACTCTAAGCAAAATTTGGTTTGGGGCCCTCTATTTCTGCTAATAATGTGGATTACTGCCCACATAGTTGAAGGTGGATGAGATGAAGTTTAAGAAAATCAAAATATATAACTTGTAAACAATTCTATTAAAAAGTTATCAGATGGCAAATGTTAAAGCAGCATCTATGACTAAATGCCAGATCGTCCCAGAGGCACATGATGAGCTACATTTGATTCCCCTTTGGGATTAATAAAGTATTTTGAATTGTGTTGAAACAAAATGAGCAAATCAGAATGTCAGGCTTTACAAGTGATTATGAGCAGATGTTGCTTGTTGGGGCCTTTAATCTGAACAGAACTCCTGGAGGGACTGCAGCAAAACGAAGCCCTTTCTTTCCACTTATTGTCCGTTTGTTGCCAAACAAGAAAATCTCCTTTGGTTTCCTGTTTTGTGCTGCAGTTCAAGCAAACACAAACTAGTTTACAGTATGAAGACTCTAAATTATTTTTTTAATCATGGGGGGTGCACACCCCCTCCCAGTGATGGATATTATTGACCAAAGTGAGTTGCAGCTCAAGCATCATCAGACGGCAAACACCAGATATCTTTGTGGCCTGTCGTACTGACGCACGCCTTCAACCACATCCCAGGACACAACGAAGGCCTTCATGCTCGGACTCGTCCTGTTGGAGCTCCAGTCAACAAACGCCTCGCTATCAGGTTCATTGACAAAAAATGTAATATAATCTGGTGATTAATCTTTAATGTGTTCCTTTATGCAACATTCAAACTGTTCTCATGTTTCATTTTGATTGTTGGCCTGCAGCTTCTGCATAAAAAAAGTCATGCATTTACTTTTATAAGGACAATACAATATTAAATATGAGCACAAGTTTGTCTTAAACTGCAAAGTCCAGAGCCACATTTTCAATACTTGGAGCCAAGTCAGTAGCTCAGGTATGATGCAAACACAACACTCCATTTTAATCTCACACAACTCCAGGGTTGTCTTCATTTCACCATTTATGAGAAATACTCAAATCTTGAACCCGTCAGACAATTCCTGTCCCCCCCCCCCCCACACACACACAATTTTTTAAAGCACAATTTCATTTTTACAAATTTTTAAAATAAAGAATGCATTAGTTTTCAAATAGGTTTTACAACATTCAAACCCCAAAGAAATAATATGGCACTTATAACTAAAATTGCAGTTTTTAAAATGTTTAAAAGATATTAAAATAACTAAACTCCTGAGAGAAATTTAAAATTACCAACACCATTGGGTTACTTTTAAGAACAAGGTTAAATGACACACCAGCACCACCTGCTGGCAGATAGTTGGTGCTACACCCTCCTTCAAATCATATTACTTTGTCATATAAAATATGTTATACCATGTCATATAAAATATGTTATACCATGACATATAAAATGTTATACCATGACATATGTCAAAATATATCTCCGAGCTCCCAAATGAGTCACTAATGTGAGGACATGGAAAGAACAAAGCCTGAAAGATAAAATCCTAAACACAAAATATATTTATCAACATTCAGAGACCGTAGATAATGATTTGAAAAAATTTATTTAACAATGAGACTTCTAATGTATTACACAGTGTGATTTCTTATTGGCATGGATAATCAGTTTCTTTGAATTCTTTTAAATCAACTAGATTTTTTGAACAACAAAAGATGGCGCACACTTCCTGCCACACCGGTACAATTTATTCAGTCAGGGGTTATGAGGTAAAAAATAAAACACTGACAAATAAAGCGGCTTTAAAAGGACAGGATTTGGAAGGATAAAAAATATTTTCCAAAAAGCAGATGCGACTTTGGTCTGGATTATGAGTAAAAAAAAAAAAAAGTGATTATGATGGTCCACTTTTAATGGAAGTGCTTGAAGGTTTCTTGCTCGTCGGGTGATGAAGATCCTTTTCAGGATTAAGGCCGTGGTGCAGGACCTCCATGGTGGTTTGGTGGCGGCTCGGGGGGGAAAAACGAAAAGCAAAAACAGCTTCATCTTCTGTGTAACTGACTCCAACCAGGGTTCAGATGGGAACCTGGGCGTTCCGCGTTCCACGATCCTATACATGTAAATTAAAGCGTTGGCAATTCAATTAATGTGAAGTCACAAAAACAAGCCACTGTCAAGAAGGTATTAAGCCTAGTCAAATTATGTTTTATTTCAGACTTCCCTTTGATTCACAAAACATAGAAAATGCATTCATGTCCACTTCAAACAAACTTTCAATGGGAACGTTTCAAACATCCGTCACATCGTCTTTCAAACTCCAATTTTTTTTTTTTTACGTTTTCCCTCCACACAGACTTCACTAACACAAAGTCACATGTTCACACAGAGAGGGTGGTAACAAGGAAAAAAAATGAAGCACACGAGCAGACAGCATTCACATCAAATCAGACTGTAAAGAGCTACAAAAGGGTCCACATAGTCACAGCACTTGACATTTCACTGCGATTCTTAAAGAACTGCGGATGAAAGAAAATGATGAGGAAAAGCAGAGAACTTAGGGATCTTGAGATGCAAGAAATGTCCTTGTGATGGTCACTGGGAACACACTCGTACGCGCTTCTTCCTCTCACACTCGCACAAAGCCACAGGTCCTCCTCAACTCTCCCAGGCATTTTGTTGTTTTAAGAAAAAATTAAATAAACGTACAAACAGTTCTCACACGTGCTTCCTTTCACTTTGCTTTCCCGTTCGCTCACTCGCACTCGGTCTACCACCAATCCCACTCACTGAGCTGAAAAAGCGACAGGAGCAGACAAGATTTCTATAAGCCCCCCCCCCCCCCCCCCCCAAAAAAAAGGGGAGAGGAACAAAACGAAAACAAAATAGAACACCCACCGTCTAACAGTTTATGCAGTGAAGCTTTGTTCTTGGATGATAATGCATTTACACATGAGAGGAGGGGAACTGATACTGAGCTCTGCCCAACATTGCTGCCAATGATGCGAGTCCTCCCGGGAAATTGGGAAAGAGTTGCTGAACTGCAGAAGAAACTTTTATGAAGGCGTATACATCAAAAACAAACCAAAAAATACAACCAAATGCATAAATATATATAATTCTATACTGCCCGCGTCACAATGGACTTGTGGGGGAGAATATCCAGATACTCGTGCATGTTTATAGTTATGCATGCACAGTCATCAAAACCAAAACCAAGGGTGAAGGACTCCACAAACTAAACTTTTCACACGTTCAATGCATGACTACACCTTCAATCACGCAAGTAGAAATTTTTGCTTTAATAAAATAAAAGGTAGTGTATTTTTTAATAAGATATAAGCCATTCCTCCATACAGGCATACTTACCAGATTAGCCTAACAGCAACAGAAAAAAATAAACAAAAACAAACCAACAAACAAACAAAAAAAATGTCTAACTAGCTACATTCCCCAATTAGAGGATTTAGATTCCATAGACGCACCAAAGCCAGAGCTGAAGCCGCTGCCGGAGGCCGCATTGGTGCCTGCAGCCCAGCCGAGGCTAGCTGAGCCGGGGCTGCTGTAACTGGTGCTGGCAGAGCCGTACGTCTGATCTCTGGTTGTGGAGGCTGTGCCTGCCGTTGAGGTCAGACCCTGCTGGTTAGCCAGCATACCCATCATTCCCCAACTGCTCTGCAACGCTGCCTGGGCAGCTGCCACCATGGCTGGATTAAGACCCAGAGCCCCAAAATTAACCCCGCCACTTCCACTGCCTAGCCCGCCACGATTACTACCATAACCCTGACTGAACCCACCAGCCCCGAACCGCCCTCGATCCATCATTTGCCTACTATTATTGTGTTTGGGCTCAGCATTGGAGATGTGCACGCTGACACCCTTGACGATCAGGTCCTCTCCACACAGAGCCTGGGCAACCTGACAGAGAAGTGACAGACATTTGTAACTCTTACTGTACACATCAGTTATGCTAAACAAATGCTATTTGCTTTTTTTAAACTCAGCATGGCAATTTTTTACCTGATCATCAGCAAATGTGACAAATGCAAATGCCCGGAAAGGTTTGGGAATGAAGACGTCAGTGACTTCACCATACTGCATGAAGTACTGCCTCAAATCATCAGTCGTCATGTCCTCTGTGCAGCGGCCAACAAAGATTTTACGGCTCCGCATGGGCTCGTCGGGACATGCCTGACAGGACACAGAACCTCAGTCATTTTCAAAACGAATCCAGTCCAGCTGCTTAACAACATTTAAAACTGCTTTTGTAACTTGTATTTTATCTCCCCATTCATTATGATACAAAAGCTTTTAACTTAGAGCCAAAACAGGCAAAGATAGAAAAAAATTAGAAGTTGTGTAAATGTTAAACAATATTCAGCAAACCTTTGAATTTGGAAGTTTACAGTCACACCACCGTCCATCAATCATGTGTCTCTGAGCAATGACTTTTGTTTGTGTCTCATAGTCAGCAAACCGGACAAACCCAAAACCTTTTGAGTTGCCAGTTTTTGTCTCTCTTTTCACCTGGAGTGAACACAGAACAAACACATGAGATGCACTCAAGACACATAGACTAACAAAGAATGTTTGACAACATTCAAAATGAAAGAAGACATTGATACCTGCACCATGATGACCTCCCCGAAGGTAATGAAATAATCTTTCAGGTCTTGTTCTGTTGTTTTCCAAGGCAACCCGAGTACAATAAGATCTGAAGTCTTTTGAAAGCCCCTTTTAACTTTCACAGCTGAAGCAGCATCTATTTCTTCCATCTTCCTTTTGTTATCTGCGAGGTAAAAATAGCAGCTTATATCAGATAAACATCAAATTATAATGTTTGAATACAACAAAAGACTGAAACTTTCTGGGCTCTTAGCTTTTCACTGGAGATGCAAAGCAAGCACACAGCCACAAGAGGAAAAAAATGACATCAGAAATCCTAAATATACCTCTCATTTTCAGAAAAGCTAGGACGTTTTCTATAAAGTTACACTTAAATGTGTCATTTGCTACTTTAGCTTAAGTTGTCCTAAAATAACTAGAATAAATCTTGCTATACAGCACCCTTTACAATTGTTTTTGAACTGAAGAAAGGTTGTTGCACTTTCACTAGAATAATGTGTCTTTTTGAAGAAATGTTCTGCTCAATAATCCATGCTGGGTTTTGGTCAGTCTTTTTCTGATGTGCCACTCATTTTCAATAAGAGATCTGGAATACGAGCAGGGTCAAACATATACTATCAGTTCATGAAAACACTGATGCAAGTAGAGCAGAATGAGGTCGAGGATCACAAATGGTAAATGGACTGCACTTATATAGCACTTTTCTATCTTATCCAGATGCTCAAAGTGCTTTACACTAAAATCTGTGCCTCATTTACCCGTTCATACAGCACTCTACTAGATCTGTACAAAGCTAATTGAACAAATCACTCTAAAGAGACTAATCAGTGCTTTAGATCACATTCATACACCGATGGGACACACACCAGAGGCAATGAGGGGTTCGGTGTCTTGCCCAGGGACACTTCGACATGTGACTGCTGGTGGATTCGACCCCCAACTCTTGCATTGGAGGATGACTGCTCTAACCACTCAGCCACAGCCGCCCACAAGGGCAACAAATGTACATGTTAGTCCAGCTGCTGTCAAAGTTATGACTTTTTTGTTATTGTTTTAATTGCTTAATTGTGTGATTGAGGGGAATGTCACTTTTCCGCTGCAGTTCAGGAAGTGTTGAAAACTAGAGACAAAACAAAGGCTGGTTACAAACCGAGTAAAAAGCTTAACATTATGATGCATCATGATGACCTTGTATCAAGGGCCTTGATTCAAGGCCTGGTGCTGACTTTATGGCACTGTATGGCATCCCTATGCTGGTGAAAGTATTGTGTGTCCATATACAGGACAGGTGCAACTAAAAAAAATTACCGAATATCGTGAAAAAGTTCAAATTTTTGTTGGTCATATCAGATAGTGAAATTCATATTATATAAATTCATTACACAGAGTGAAAAATTTCAAGCCTTTATTGTATTTGTAATTTTGATAATTATGACTTACAGATAATGAAAAACCAAAATTCAGCATCTCAGAAAATTTGAATATTGTGAAGAGGTTCAATATTTTTAACTCCTGGTGTATCACCCTAATCAGCTGATTAACTCCTAGACATGCGCTACAAATGTCTCGTTCCTCAAGTCGAGCCACTCCTGAACCAGAGACGTCAGAAGTGTCTTAAAAGAGCTGGACTGTTTCTCAGTGGTCCAAATGTCCTCTTTTCAAATTAAAGTAAATTTTGCATGCCATTTGGAAATCAAGATCCCAGAGTCTGGAGGAAGAGTGGAGAGGTCCAGAATCCATGTTGCTTGAAGTCCAGAGTGAAGTTGCCACAGTTAGTGATGGTTTGGTGCCATGTGCACAGCTGGTGTTGGTCCACTCTACAGTCAACACAGCATCTACCAGAACATTTTAGAGCACTTTGCGCTTCCTTCTGTGGACGAGCTTTATTAAGATGCTGATTTCATTTTCCAGTAGTACTTGGCACCGGCCCACACTGACAAAGGAACCAAATCTGGTTATGCAGAATTTCATTTTCTGATACATTGAATTTTGTTTTTTCATTATTTGTCAGCCATAATATCCTGATGCATGCTCAATAATCCAGGTAGAAAAATCTAAAAAAAGTTAAGTCTGGTCCTCCGGACATTCAAAAAACAAACAAAAAAAAAAAAGTAGAAATGTTTCGTCTCTCATCCGAAAGACTTTCTCAGTCTGAGGAGCTGTATTCAGCTCTGTCTCTTAAATAGCACCTTCTCAGAGTGGATCAACCAGTTTGCTGCTGACAACCAAAACCAGCTGATCACATGCTCAAGGACCATCAGCCTAACAATGGATCATTAGCACACTGATGGCTGTTTACTGTTCACAGAGGGCTGAATGATACCAGCAATCACAGCATTGTAAGAGGGGGACAGTTGAACCCAGAGGCCTCCACCTGTTTAACGATGGACGGTTTCTTTTCACAAAGATGGCCTCCTTTACTCCTCTCTCAAACCATCGTTCCTCTCTGTCCAGAATGTGAACATCTTCATCCCTGAAAGAGTGACCGCTGGCCTGGAGATGAGTGTAGACCGCAGAGTCCTGGCCTGATGATGTTGATCTTCTGTGCTGGGCCATCCTTTTGGCCAGTGGCTGTTTAGTTTCCCCGATGTAAGACTGACCACAGCCCTCCTGACACTGAACAGCATACACAACATTACTCTGTTTGTGCCGGGGGACTGGATCTTTGGGACGGACCAGTCTTTGCCGTAATGTATTTTGGGGTTTAAAAGCCACTGGGACTTTGTGTTTAGAAAATAAACGTCTCAGTTTCTCTGCTGATACTCCCGCAACATATGGAATGACCACTGGTCTGGGTCTGGGTTCCTCCTTTTCACCTGATGGCTGACTGGAGTCCTGTTTGGGTTTCTTCTCTGCTTTCAGGAAGGCCCAGTTAGGATATCCGCATTGCTCTAGAGCCTGTTTTGTGTAGGATTTCTCCTTCTGCCTGGCTCCTGAGCTAGTGGGGACGCTGTCTGCTCTGTGATAGTGTCCTGTAAGCCATCATCATTAAACTTACAAGGAATAAAGGTTTGATATATTTCACTCTATGTACAATGAATTATGTACTATTTGAGTTTCATTTTTTGAAGTGATTAACAAAAAAAACCCCATTACAATATTCTATTTTTCGAGATGCATTTGCCTATGATTTGCATTGTCAGTCATGATATGAGAACTGATAAAACCTCAGTAACAACTACTTTGTAGATGTGGACTCAAGAACAGGTGCTCACTGGAAGTCCATTTGATTTAATCTCCTGTAAAAAGACCCGCATGCATAATTGGGAGTTTAAAGGTACATTATTGATGCAACAGCAATTGTAGTGAGCAACAATGTTTTTTTAAAGGTACTTTTCGTGTCTTTATAATCTTCAATTTTTAGTTGGAAAACAAAACTAAGATGTTCATATTTAGTGCATTACCAATAATTTCTTTGTTGGCCTACAAGGCCTTACAAGCAACAAGTCTTAGCGATTTAAACAACCTGAAATGTGCAAACTGACTTTGTTCACACATCATAGACAAACAGCAAGTAATTAAACCAGCTTAATGCATTATAGGCTCAAATTTGTGATGTTGCCGTGTTACAGGGGGGCTTCAATACATTGATGTTACAGTAACAGCGTGAGTAACTAGAAAGTTTGTGTTTATTTTTTAGTTTGTGTGGCTGAATACATTTACAGACAGGGAGGTGTGCTTAGAAGCAACTGGAAAACGATCTCACCTTTGGGGTAATTGACGACATACACCAGGTTTCCCCAGTTGCTCTCAGGTGCATGCAGAACTCCCTCCACGAGCCGAACCCCCCTCATGCACTGGGACTCTGGGTTTCTGTACCGCAGACCACAAGCCCCCGGGAACTGAGCAGCCACGGAGGACAATAACACGGTACCATCATCTTCTGAGGGGATCTCCATGGGCTCCTCACTTTCCTCCTCAGCCACCCGAATGTACAGCTCTGACATGGTGTCTCGGATGGCTGAGAGCTGGTCCAAGTGGAATCAGCCGAAGGAGCTCAAGTTCTTAATAAACACACACCGGAGTGTTTTATTTGAATTCTAACCTGACTCACGTTTACTACAGAGTGTAAACTAAAACGGAATTCAAAAGCAGACGAAACAGCGCCAAACACTCACTCCACAACTACACCATTTAAAATGGAACGGTCACGAAAGCTGAATGTTTTCTCCACCATTAACGTAAACAAGTTAGCTGGCGTGCTAGCTAGCTAATGAGCTAGCAAACTTAGCGAGAAAAAAAAATCATATAAATTAATTTCGCGCCGTGTTCAGTGCCAGCGAACACACGCGTCCTTCTCTGGCTTACTACTCTGTGCCAGAAAAAATAATGCAGATGAAAGCCTCGAAAACCTGTCGTGTGCGATTCCAGCACGAAGTATCCAGAGCTAAGCAAGCTAATCTTTGTAACCTCAAGATAGCTAACAAAATGGCTGCCCACCGCTCACCTTGCAAAGATGACATCATCGAGACGGAAGAGCGCACTTTTTATATTTGTAGGGAGGCCAGAAATTCAAAGTAAAAGCATTTTGTTTAATAGTTTGACTTCATAATGTCGGTTATGCTGGAAAGCGGTTCAATATAAACTATACATTATTTGTTTTGTTGTGTTAGTGCAAACGTATATAACAGGTGTTCCTGGTACAAATTTAAAGTTTTTAAGTTTACCCTTTAAATGCGGACATGTTAATTTGAAAAGCTCAAACAAACAGATCCTGAGGACGGAAAACAGAAAAGAGGTGGACATGCAACACGTTCTAAATTGTTTGAGTAATTTCTTGTAAAAAAAAATTTAAAAATGTCTTTAATCTGCATAATATTTTAAATGTCGAATACCTTGACGTAAGGACATTTTCAAAATGCCTAAAGTATGACTTAGTTTTTTTTCTGAATTCTCTAATTTTGTTTAATGTTATGTACTGTAAAAAAAAAAAAAAAATCTAAAATGCAATTTTTTTAATTTAGTTTTTTTTTTTTTTTTTAAATAGGCCTAAACAGACACTGTTAAAAAAATGGAGCCAAAGGACTAAATGCATGTAAACTTTCTAAACTAAACAGATCTAGAATTTGTCCAGTTGTTCCTCTTTACTCAGTCTGCACAATATATTATTTGTTTTGCACTGTAAGTTGTAGTTTCTGGTTTGGGTCGAATATCTTTCAGTTGACCTCAGATATAAAGCCTAACCAGATCGCTGAACTTTTTCACAGTTCTTTTTAACTCTTAAATATTTTTCCCCCTGCCCTGATGTAGACTTTAGTAATAACTTTCAAACAACACACGACTTTGACCGAATTAGGCAACAACCACAAAGAAGCTCTGTCCATCAGCAACCTGTCCATCAAACACAAACAGTTTCAATGAAGAGGAGATGAGGGGATTTGTGACTGACCATTCCCACAGCTCCCACTCCAGTCTAAAGTTAGTCCTGCAACAGCAAGTGCTGGTATGTGCCCTATAAACTTATAGTATATCTCTGGTGTCTAATGCAAATAAACAAAAAGATTTGGATGTTTGCTAAGATGAACCTAGAAGCATCTAAAGTAGGTTTAATTTTGCTCTCCTCCCAGTGCAGACAACCCGTCTTGCAGCCGTTCTTCAGGTGAAGGTGAGGTGCTGTCCTCACTTTTAAAAAGACGAATCACAAAAAGCGCTGGACCATAGAGGACACACTGCCATGCGAAGGTGAGTGTGCTGCTGATGGACCCAGTAAAACTAAAGAGGTGATTAATTACTGCATGTTATTGTGACCATTAGCCACTTCATGGCGTTTAATGCACTCACACCGTGCACTGTTTATGTTTGCATCTCAGTCACACTCGGTAAGCAACTTAAGCATCTTTTACACAGAGACTGAAGAAAATATACTCTAATCTGCTATAGCATTATGACCACCTACCTGAAATTCAGCTGATACAGGGATGTCAGCATCAAAACATCTGGCTGTGGTTTAAACTTCCAGTCAGGTCCCACCAGACTGGTATCTGGTGACCAGGTGAACATCCTTCTTTGTTTGCCATCCTTAAGCAGTTTGTTCATGGAGCTTGAAATACTGTCATTATTATGACCCCTACCATGAGAGGGGTGTGTTAGCTCTGCAAATAAAACTAGATAGGTGGCAACGTGACCTCCTCGTCAAAGTTAGAATGTACCTTTTACCTGAAGGACAAACAGTTGCAACACGATGAGTAGCGTTACTTTACTTGTCAGTGGTCATAAAATTGTAATTATTTCTTCAAAAAAGCAAAATTTAAACTAAAATTCTCACACAAGTCCCTTTGAACATCTATTTTATAGTCACATTTGCAGTTTAAAAAAACCTTTTAATCAGTATCTGAATGAATTTATCTCTGCTTTCAAAGTCAGCATTTTTCACTACAATTAAATAAATCACATATTATGCTTAACCTGGCATGCAAAACGTATAGAACAAAACCCATACCAGTTTCATCAAACTGTAAAAGCCATTATAAACTGGAATACACAATCATTAGAAACAATACAGAGATTGCAATAAATTATTTCAAAGCACAAAACTAAATTTAAAAAAGCACCTAAGAAGTCTGGTATTTTGTTAATTTTCTCAAAATGTACTTTATTTTTCTGAAATGCTATGTTTTTTTGAAATACGGTGGTTTTATTTCTTGTTTTTGTTGTTGTGCATTGCATTTGCATCAAGTGTTTTTCTATTGGTGTAGTTTCTGAAATGCTGTGTCTGGTCTGAACATGCCGGGCCTCTCTACAGTAAATATGAAACGTGACGCTTTCAGGTGACGCTTTCAGATGCTCCATCCCAGCAGCTGGTAAATAACAGCCTGTTTTCAATATGAATTTTAATTATATGTTTTACTTCAGTTATTTTTGTGAAGGTTATTTTATTGCTCTTGTAAAATATAACAAAAGTGTTAGACTGAACATGCCTACCTGAAGTGATTCTGCTGCATCTGTTGCAGTTTAATTAACCACCAGAAGGGGGCACTGTTGACCAGGTTGTCAGAACATGCGCTGCAAACAGATGGCCTTTTTCTAAATTTACTTATTATTTTACAAAATTTTACAATGAACCTATTTTCCAGGCAAAATGTGATAATTATGACACAATAAGAAGGTAAATAGTTGAAAATCTGGATTTTCTGATCATATTTTTTCCATTGCATATTGACCAAAAAAAAAAACAATTATTTTTTTATGTATGTTCCAGCCATTCTTTCCTTCTTTGTTATTGTGACCTCCTGCTTTGCATCAAAGCTTCTGTAAATGATAACAGTGCAGCGTTACGCAGTTTCATGCATCATATATAATGGGCTGTGGGGCAGAAAATCTAAACTTCCTTGCGCCTTTGGTTCCCATCTGCTCGGTGAACTTATGAGCAGGAAATGGAATAAGTGTTGCAAAAAAAAAAAAAAAAAAGCGCACCAACATCCTCCTCCATGTGGCCTCTCTCGGCCATTACCCTATCTGTACCGACTGTTAACCGTCTTTACGCAGCTAGAAATCCCTTTCATGTTGCACTGTTTCTTTCTTGTTTTAATTTCAATCAGAGCATATGGCTTGCACATCTGGGAGATGCAAAGCATGGTGGCACCCCCCCCCCCCAACACACAGTCAGCTTGTGTGAAGTGATCCATGCATGGTCTCCATTGTTATTGCTCATAATCACTCATCATGATTATAAACATCTTTTATTTATTGGTCATTTTTTCCCCCCATAATTTTAATCAAACCTTTGGAGAAACTTTCTAGTCAAAGCGTCACGTTTTATAAAGTCCAAAGCTGCAAACACATCACTTTTCACCTGATCACTTCTCTTTGACTACTTCTGCAGACGCAGCCGTTTAATTGAAGCATAAATTCCTTTCTTGTTCAGTTTCAGTGTCAGAGTGACTAATTGGGCAGCGCACGTCATGTAAGCAGACCATCAGATCAGGAAAGAGGAGAAGCACATCTCTTTTTATTTTTTTCCCCTAAATAACTTCATTTAATTCTAAAGAGGCTCACTGCAAGCTATAAAATGAACCATCAAAAGGTTTTCAGGAACTATATCAACTCAGACAGTTTGAGAGAGTTTACACCAGTAGTTTTCCAGATACGTTGACATGCGATTCTGAAATGCGGTACGCACTCAATGTAAACAAAAACTTGAATAAATCTGTCAAAAACCTGCGTGGAGATCTGAGTCATGCTGACCTGCATTAGGCTGGCCACAATCTGTCACATTACGACACATTAACCATCGATATGAGGAAAAAGTAGTTCAGATTTCTTATTTATTGACATTTTATCTTTGACTGGCATTCATGACAATGCGTACCTTTAATTGGACGAGAGTCCCGTTAATTGGCAACTTACAGAGTCAAAATCACCGTGTGTCATCATGTGCCGCCTCAGCATCCTCTGCTTTTCAGCTTCCAGCTCTCTGTTTTCATGCCACAGGAGAGGCAGCGGGAGGAAGAGGAAGAGGGGGTGGAGGAAGGCTACGTGTGGCTTTGAGTGGTTTGCCGGGCCTCTTCATCTCTTTCGGCGGGTAATTACAGAATCATGGGTCAACCACGCATGTAACCACAGATATGTTGCACAGTAGCAGATGTGCTCTTGGCATTATCCAGCACAAGAGCAGGATAAAACGGTAAATAAAAACAGATGCGGCCAGTTGCCGTACAGATCTTCACCAAACTTTGTGCAGGCCACTAATTGTTCCCATGTGAGCCCGCTGAGCTGCAGGAGGACGGTATGCCCCGTTTGAGAAATGCCAGCTTTTCCTCAATTGGAGAAATTTATGAATGAGGCCTTTAACGGCAGCTGTGGTGTTCGAGAGCATCGTTACCAGGTCCTCTTGCACAGAGGCCCCTGATTGGATGTGAGCCAGGTGAGCAGCATGTGATTAAAACCTTCTACATCCTGTCTTTGCTGAGTATCATGTTTCCGTACACAACCAGCATACAGAGCTGACACCTAAAGTTTGTGTGCGATTATACGTCTGCATTTATACAAGTCGTTTGTCGTGTTCCCAACACTGGTCCTTGAGGAACACCATCCCGCACGTTTTACTTGTTTCTCTGCTCCACCACACCTGATTCAGTGGTTTAATTACTTCCTTAAGTTCAGCAGAAGCCTGTTTGTAATCCTTTCATTCAAATCAGGTGTGTTGGAGCAGAGGAACAACTAAAACATGCAGGATGGTGTTCCTCAGGGACCATGATTGGGTACCATTGGTATATGGCACGCAGGTTAGAGTAGGAGTGCTCGGGCTTGGGTGTGAGCTGGAAATCTTTCACTTAGAGGCCTGATACAGTTTGACGTATCGCCCATTTTTTTTGTGTCGTCTCCGCTGAGCTGGAATGTGATCCATCCTCTCTTTTTTCTTTTTTTTTTCTTTAAACC